GTAATTCTTTTATCCACAGTAGTTGAAACAGCCCGGAGTTTAAATACTTGACAGATTTTGTCTTATGTACAAATAATTCTGCAGACATAGAATCGCTAAAGTGGTCGGTGCTGCAAAGCTCCGGCGCCGCTGGCGCTGCGGGCGCAGCTCAGCACACAGCAACCGCAGCGGCAGCAGCTCTGCGACCCGAGGCAAGTGCAGGATGGCTGCCGGCAAGCAGATGGCAACCGTATTCGTCCAGTGCTTGGATTTGGTAAACGTGTACTACATAATTCTTCACGTTTATTATACGATCTGACTAACGCAATAATCGAAATGTTTTTATTTTTATTTTGAATATTATAAAATATTATGTGTTTTAATCTTAAATAATTCTGTAAGATAACTTAAAATATAACTTTGTCTTTTTTTTCAAATAAGTATACATATTTTAAATTGCCTTAACTACTAGTAGTGCCAACATTATGAGGTTATAAATTTAATATGGTTATATGCCTAACACTATTGGCCAAGTAAGTAAGTATAATTTGCCAAATATATGTTTTTCTATCTGCATTCTCTAACATTTCAATGTTTTTTATTATTATCTTATTGAAGCTTGTATCAAAATTTTTTGTTAGTTGGGTGGTTGTCAAAAAAATTCACAATAATCAAAAGTTTGCTAATGATTATAAAATTCTACACAACCTTACTGAATAATACAGTAAATAAGTCAAGTTCTATATTATATGTTTTGTACACTAAAATTAATTCTCTTTGGTTACAAGTAACAATCAGACGGTCATTTTGTATTCGTTGTTAATTTTAATAAAATATACCTACTCATATTTGTACCCTTGTAATTGTTATTAAAATTATAGTAAATAGGTACTTGAATCCATTTTGTATGTTTTTTATTTAAGGAATAAATAATATTTTTACACGTCTTTTGTTTTATTTCATTTCAAAAAACTTTCATACAAATAGGTACCTACATAAATAATTCAAAATCAAGGAGATTCGGAGAGGTATTTTCCGATTTTGACTTATTCATATTAATCAGTAAAAATAAGATTCGCCGACGCGATTGATAATAACTTAATTATTAAAAGTAATCTTTTATTTTTTTTTTATAATGTAGTGATAGTTATTTTCATTTTCTAAATTTTAAATAGAATCTGATAGAACATAGAACGATTTACTTGTCGTTCTTAATGCGCACAGTAAAGAATAATTTGCCAGCATCTGTCCTTTCATCCGATTATAATGTGGGTGTCTTCAAGGCAAAAGTGAATAGACTTTTATCAACTTAAGTCAGTGCACTTTTCTGGTTATCTTTGGCTACATCACTGCTTACCATCAGACGGGATAGTAGTTAAGCACTGGCTCTAGTAAAAAAAAAGTCCTTGATTGATTAGCGTCCAGTGCGACTGCGCGGTTACCATAACAACGCGAGATTCAGGCTCCATCTGCCGTTATTTTCCAGCATCCAAACAAGTGTTTAATTTATGTAACGCATAGCTTACATATCTCATTTTAGTAAAATTTAAATATAAAAATGAAGTGAATTACTTTGAAAACATTACAAACACTTTAAGGTAAGAATTGCAATCAAGTGTTTTTTTAGTATAAGTGCATGTAGTGTATAAATAAATTTTTATATGCATTTTATAGTGCAGGGTATATATATAACATCATGTAACGGATTAAAAATAAAGTAAGCAATTCTTAAGGCTCTTTGACTATTTACCTTATTGGGATGATTACGAAATACCAACTAATTGTTCGTTTTTTTGTCAAAAAGGGAGAGGTTATCAATTCGACATATTTAATCTTTTAATATGATTTTAATATAATATGTAACACGGTATCTCCCATTACACGATTTAGAAATAAATATATAATATTTAAAAAAAAATCTGCCATTAACCAGTCAATAAACTATACGTAGAGTGGGCGGATCGCTCTATCTAAAACTATATCTACTTATATTGAGTTTAATCGAAAAAGTGACATAAATATTAAAAACTAGCTGTACCCGCGGCGTAGCTCGCGAATATAGGTTTTACTTAAAGAATTTGACGTTTAGGGTAAGAGAATATTAAACGATTTATATCATTACTGTATGAATGTGTGAAATGTGTGACTGTATGAAAGTGGTAACAAAATAAATCGATACGCTCAAAGTTCTAAGTCGTTTATGATAGAGCTTCCGTGTAAACGACGATAGAAGTAGACTTAGCCGGGGCGTACAGAAAAAGGTTGGCATAGAGTTGGCCATGTGCAAAACAATCAGTACTGGGGTCCACTCCTACAACGCGTAAAGTTTGACCTTGCGCTTTATTTACGATCGTCGCATAACACACGCTGAGTGGGAAACACACTTAAAATACGGATGTTAGATGATCATCGATGTTAAAAATTAAAACTTCGATGTTTTAACATCGATGTTGACACATGTCAAACATCGAAACATCGACGTCAATGAACCCATAATCGATAATTGGGAACTTGCAAACAATGCGAACTCGCGAAATCAATATCAACTAAATCTTGCATCTGCTCTGAAGATTAAAAATTTTGAATAATTCAGAATTCCTGAACGCATCGTTAACCTAAAAAAATGTCAGTATGGTGAGTCAAACTTAATTGTCAAGTGTCACCTGTGATGTCACAATGGTCACTGCTTTCGCTTTATTTTGTAGTGTCGTTGTCGGTTGTCGCATAATAACTATTCTACGTAAATTGATATTCAAGTTAATAGTTACTTTTTCCTTGATGTGTATACCCACATAATTTTAAAACAATTTGTAAGTATCTACACATATACAAAAACCATCGATAATGATCATCATCGATGTTTTGAGTAGCCTAAACATCGATGTTGAGCTATCGATGCCAACATCGATGTCATCATCGATGTTATTATCCCTATCTTAAAACTGTAAGGAGAGTTATTTGGTATTAGAGGTTTAGAGGGATTCTGGGTATAAAACAATATCACGACATTTATTGCAAATTTACTACTTTTAGTCGAGTTTTCGAGTTTTGTTGAATAATTTCGACGTACGCGGTACGTCTCTTTTTTCTGTTTCTGTCGGTGTTTGTGCTTTGTGTTGTTAGCCTACACGGCTCTAACAGTCTTGCAGCTTCGTCGGACTCATGAACATAAATTTTTTCAGTGAGTGTCAATACGATTCACCTGCGAAAAATCTTAACACCGCAATTCAGAAAAGGTTGTAATTTGTACAACGCCATCTATTACGTTCTTTGTGAGAAAACATCCTTTTTTAATTTAAGGAAAACATATATTTTTTTACTGTGTTTTAAGTATAAATATATTATAATAGAACGTTTTTTTTTACACACGTATCTTTTTATTACTATTTCTGAGATTTTGTGGCGCCATTAAACAAATTCGAACCTACATTTCAAAATAATAATCATAACTTTCGATAGAATTAACCAATTTTAATAAAACAAAGATTAAATGTAACTCGAAGATACGCTTTATGATTTTCTTAACGATTTCTTTGAAAAAAAAAAGATGTTTACTTTAGACGTGATGCTTTCATATAAAAACAGACAAACAGACAGAAAGACAATTCTAAAAATTATAAAAATGTACTTATTTAATTATTTTTAGTTCCCCATAATGATTTTAGTCACCATAATATATATATACAATGTACAGAAAGAGACACATGTTATCATCATTTTTATTATATGTATATATTTAAAGAGAGATGGCGCTGCTAACATTAACTTGATGACTCAAACAAAGCCACCGTTGAGCAAATTCCCTACCCATACTTCAGAATATTTATCATAACTTTTGATGGAATGAACCGATTTTAATGAAATAAAGACTAAATGTAACCCGAAAGTTTACTTTATAATTTCCTTAACAATTCTTATGATATAAATTAGTACTTTAAACGTGATACGTTAACAAACAAACAGACAGACAGACAGACAGACAGACAGACAGAAAATTCTAAAAATGGTAGAAATGTATTTAATTACTTATTTTTAGTACCCCTCAATCACTTTTATTACAAAAATATAAAATGTACAGACATCTGCTATTTACAATTTTATTATATGTATAGATAAAATAAAACTAAAGTTTTGTTAAAAAGTAAAAAGTGACTAAAAATTTATAAATTAGTTAATAATTTCCATAAAACACCCTCGGACACTTCGAAAGTCGAACTAGACATTGTATCGAAGTATTAAAACCCCTACTTTCCCACTTTAGATGAGGACTTTCTTTTGTAAAATTATTAAGGAGTACTAAAAATTAAGTAAAGTTAAACATACGTACAAAAAATATGAAGGTTTCACCCCCTTTCGGGTTTGCAGTTTACCGAGGGTCACACCGTATATCATTAGTAATCGCCACGCTTGGCGAAATAATTCGGACTATAGGGTGCAGGGAGTCATTTTATTTCAGGCCGTGGGGCTTTCCATCTTAGTCCTTAGAGGTGATAACGAATCTGTGGTCTTATTTATTAAAAATCGTTGCAATGGTGTTGTCCGCGGGATGTAGTAGCCACTTACCATCAATTTTTACGTGGTAGAGCCACGCTACAGCTATATTATGGTTGTAGCACGAATGGGTGGGGTTCATACCTTAATAACTCAAGAACTATTAGGTACTCAAGAACTTATAGATTTATTTATGAAATTTGGGATTCCAGATATTTAAGGGCCCTTACTAGACATGCAAATTTACAAGTAGGTACTTATGTTTTTTTTTTCAAGATTGTAAACTCTAGTACTGCTTTGAAAAGTTAACAGTAATGTCTATTAAAATATATAACCTTTTAGCCCTCGGTGCGTAAAAAATAAATAGTAACAGGCTATCGCAGGCTGGACGCCGGCCTCTTCTCATTTAGAAAGGACTATGCAGCGGTCAAAGTACTTCGTGATGCTACAGAGCAAAAAGATTCCACATGCCGACTCCATTATGGGTTATCGAAGTTTCTTTAAAAGATAATTTCATGTAAAATTTTAGGATGTGGTTTTGCTACATTATATTGGCTCTTGCATTGAGTAATCATATCGTGACGGCGGATATAGAAGATCGCAGGCGCTTCTCAAATCCAACATATTACAATGTGGGAGGGGTCCTGTCGAGTAACGAGTCAGTCGCTTTCTTCAAGGATACTATCTCGGTTAGTGTAATAATGTCTGATTTTCGAGCTATATGGCCGGTCCATTACCACATCAGCTCGCTGATCCGTTGCGTTATGTCGGATATTCTGGTTCTACTGCGGATATCCTCATTTCTAAGTCCTGGCTGTCCTATCACGACCTGGCTTACTAGGTTCTCTTAACAAATTAGAAAATGTATAGATTCAGGTGACTCGGGACCGTGCTTTGTGACATTCTTAGTTTTGGCCTGTTTAATAGTGGACTTGTCAAGGGCTGTAATAAAGATGGTGATAGTGAAATGTAATGTTTTTGGCCGATTCCACACTCGAAAAAAGTTTTATTTGTATTGAACAGTGGTAGAGCTAAGCGGTAGCTTTTGCTGTCGCACGGATGGGCCAGCTCGAACCGGGGTGGTACCACGACCTCACAGAATACCAGCGTGAAGTAGAGGTTTACCTCTGCGTTGCGCTTGGTGAGTGCAGGTGGCCGGAGGCCCAATTCCCCCCCCCCCCCCCCATCAACATGGTAGTGGAATTAAATACAAGACTAGACTACCCTGGAGAATCCCTCGCTGAGCATCCACGACCAAACTACTTCACTCCTGAGCGTGGGTGCTCAGGCTGCCCCGCGTATTCTGGGGGGGGGGGGGGGGGGCAAAATTCCGCTCGTGACTAATGCTGCTCGGGGCAAGCGGAGCAATACAACCAAGGCGACCCCTGTCACGCTATCCGTGAATTTTCCCAACATCAGGGGACTTCATTCCAACCTTAACGCTGTCCATTACCATCTAGAGACGGCGAAGCCGGCCTTGCTCTTTTTAACCGAGACTCAGGTGTCCTCTCCGGCTGATACTTCATATCTCTCCTACCCGGGATACAAATTGGAACACTCCTTTGTGCCCCGGGCTGGAGTTTGTGTATACGTCAGAGAGGACATCTGTTTTCGACGCCTCGGCAGCCTTGAAGGTACGAACCTGTCCATCCTATGGCTGCACGTAGAGAGCGACGACCATCCCCGCGTCCATGGGTGCCTCTATAGGTCCCATAGCGGTAATGCCGACGCAGACCAACTCATCGACCACGTCCAAATGGTTGCAGACTCCGCGCTACAACAGGTCCCATCCGCAGAGATCGTGATACTCGGTGATTTTAACGCCCACCACGCTGAATGGCTTGGTTCTCGTTTAACCGATCATGCGGGTAGATCTGTGTACGACTTTGCCTTGGCATATGGTCTAACACAACTGGTTACTTCGCCTACGCGGTTCCCAGATGTGGAAGACCATGTACCTTCCCTGTTGGACCTTCTGCTGACCTCTCATCCGGACGGATATCAGGTCTCCGTCGATGCCCCTCTGGGCTCTTCGGACCATTGTCTGATCCGGAGCACGGTGCCACTCACGCTCCAATCGCAGTTGCGATCTGCAGCTTGCCGCCGTGTTTGGCACTATAGGTCAGCTGATTGGGACGGGATGCGGTCTTTTTTTGCATCCTACCCTTGGGGGCGGGTTTGCTTCTCGCCGGAAGATCCCAGCGTTGTTGCCGATTCTGTTGCTGATGTGGTACTTCAGGGTATGGAACTTTTTATTCCATCCTCTGTGGTGCCCATCGGAGGCAGATCCCAGCCATGGTTTGGTCGCTCCTGTAAAATAGCATCACGCTATAAGCAGGAGTGCTACCGGGCCTGGGCTGATGCATCAACATCTCGGGATTTAAACACCAGCGCACTTAAAAAGAAGTATAATTCCGCCTCCAGGTCCTTCAAAAGCGTCATTGCCAAGGCAAGGTCTGAGCACATCGGCAGAATTGGCGAGAAGCTAGTTCGCCTTCCTTCGGGAACCCGTGCATTCTGGTCTCTCGCCAAGGCTGTCCAAGGGAACTTCTGTCAGCCATCCCTTCCATCTCTGCACAGAGAGGACGACTCACTGGCCCATGCCGCAAAAGAGAAAGCCGATCTGTTGTGCTCTCTTTTTGCGTCTAACTCGACTCTAGATGACGGGGGGAATTCACCGCCGACCATCCCGCGATATGAGTGCTCCATGCCGGATGTGCGATTTACACAGCGCTCGGTTCGCAAAGCACTCTTCTCCCTGGACGTCAGCAAGTCGAGTGGGCCCGATGGAGTCCCTCCCATTGTGCTGAAGACGTGTGCTCCGGAGTTGGCACCGGTTTTAACGCGTCTTTTCCGGTACTCCTACTCCCAAGGCGTAGTCCCGAATTCATGGAAGACAGTTTTGGTCCACCCGATCCCTAAAAAAGGCGACCGCTCAGACCCGTCCAACTACAGGCCTATCGCTATCACCTCCTTGTTCTCCAAAATAATGGAATCCATTATAAACTGCCAGCTCATGAGGTACCTTGAAGATCACCAGCTGATCAGTGACCGTCAGTACGGTTTTCGTCGGGGTCGATCAGCGGGTGATCTTCTAGTTTACTTAACTCATAGATGGGCGGAGGCAGTAGAGTCCAAGGGGGAGGCATTGGCCGTTAGTTTGGACATAGCGAAGGCCTTCGATCGGGTCTGGCACAAGGCGCTTCTTTCGAAGCTTCCTTCCTATGGGCTTCCCGAGAAATTGTGCAAATGGATCACCAGTTTCCTTGCTGATCGGAGCATCAAGGTCGTAATAGACGGTGCATGCTCTGATTACAAGCCTATCAACGCTGGTGTTCCACAAGGCTGCGTGCTATCACCAACGCTGTTTCTCCTGTATATCAGTGATATGTTGCTAACTGGTAGCATTCATTGCTATGCAGACGACAGCACTGGTGATGCCTTATATACCGGCCGTGCCAATATTTATCGGGAAAACGTCGCCGAGTACCGGGACAAACTTGTGTCTGAAGTCGAGTCTTTGCTTAACAAAGTCTCGGATTGGGGCCGACTAAATCTAGTCCAGTTCAATCCCCAGAAGACACAAGTTTGCGCGTTTACCGCTAAAAAGAACCCCTTTGTCGTATCTCCTCAGGTTCAAGGCACTCCCCTTGCTGCCTCAGCCAGTATCGGAATCCTTGGCGTCGACATATCGAATAGCGTGCAGTTTCGTGGTCACTTGGAAGGGAAGGCCAAATTGGCCTCTAAAAAGCTTGGCGTGCTCAGCAGAGCGAGACAGTATTTCATGCCGGCACATCGCTTGCAACTTTACAAAGCGCAAGTTCGGCCCCACATGGAATACTGTTCTCATCTCTGGGCCGGGGCACCCCAGTGCCAGCTCCTTCCACTTGACCGCATCCAGCGCAGAGCGATTCGAATCGTCGACGACCGAGTTCTTTCCGATCAGCTCGATACACTGGCACTGCGTAGAGATGTTGCATCTCTTTGCGTATTTTATCGCATCTATCACGGGGAGTGCTCTGAGGAATTGTTCGGACTAATTCCAGCCACTCAATTTCACTATCGCACGTCGCGACAAAACTCGCGTTACCATCCGTACCATCTGGATGATTGGCGGTCCACCACTGTGCGATTTAGAAGAAGTTTTCTCCCTCGCACAACTTCTTTGTGGAATCAATTACCACCAGCGAATTTTCCGAACCGATACGACTTAGGAACCTTCAAGAAAAGAGCTTACACCTTTCTAAAAGGCCGGCAACGCATCTGCAATTCCCCTGGTGTTGCGGTTGTTCATGGGCGGCGGTAGTCACTTACCATCAGGTGAGCCGCAAGCTCGTTTGCCCCCTATTCTATAAAAAAAAAATTGAAAGTAGAATATATTATTATAGACCCACTACTATAAATAAAAACATAAGGGGCATTCACTCGTTTAAATTTAGCCGTACTCCATGAACACCGTAAGCATAAGTGTGCAGGTTTGCGAGTAGTCTTTCTGAGATACAGGTACAACGACAAGTAATTATATGTATAGATTCGAGATTCGAACTCAGGATTCGTGAAGTAAATAATAAATAAAAAATCAGATCTTTAGCAACACTTGACGTTTTCCAGCAGTGAATTATTTTTTAGTAGGCTTATAATTATAAGATCGAAAATATTGTTACCCACCGTTTTATTATGTTTCAGAATCTTAATTTCAAAGACCAATATGTTCCTCGGGGTGTAACATATCATGACTACTCAATTTTGATGGACCCCAACCCTATAAAAACAGCTTTGAATGTTTGCAAGGATTTAATTGGACATCGTGTAAGTGTACATTAACTACGACTACAATATAGTCTTGATTCTTATTTTAACTACGGCAACATTAAAATACTATTAGGACATTATTATTATCGTTTATAATGAGGGAACGGCAGTATTATGGTTCCCAAAATGTAGACATACGACTCGTCTCTTATTATTACGTTTTTCAATCTGTAGTTCTGCAGCAGATACGTCACAGTCTCCGACTAATTAAATACAATAGTAATATAAAGCTATTTCGGTCTTTGTTATATACTAAAAAGACATTTAATCAAAGATGCTCGCTTCGTAATGTAGTTTGACCTATTAGGTCCAAAGCGCGGCATCGAGAATATTTGGCGCAAAAGTGTATTTAATACAGTTTACATCACTACAGTTAGGTACATAGTCAGACTCATAAAAACATTATTAAAAAAATATTTAGATGCACATTATTCAGATGACTTAGAAGTTCGATATTTTGAACATTGTGCTAATTATATATAATAAATAAAACCGCATAGAGGTCGACGGTTAAAAATTTTTCAACGTTCCCTTCAATTGACTTTCAAGACATCTATAAGACAATATCAGTTAATGTCATCACTTCACACAGTTTATAAATCAATTCCAGAACCAAGTATCAGAACTGATAATATAATTTAAACTTTTAATATCACTTGGTAGAGCTATGCTGCAGCTATATTAGTAGTATAGTTGTAGCACGAATGGGTCGGCTCAACCGGGGAAGGACCACGCTCTCACAGAATACCAGCGTAAAATAACAGCTTAACACTGCTGTGTTTCGTATGGTGAGTGTAGAGAACCGGAGACCTTTTTTACTGGAAAAGAGGCTTTTCATCTTAGTCCTCACGGGTGACAACGCATCTGCATTTTGATTCTTTATTGAGGATAGATGTAGATGTCTGTGGGTCACAGCAACCACTTACCATCAGCTGGACTGTATGCTCGTTTGTCACCCTATCCTATAAAAAAAAACTTACACATTTAACATTCGCAGGTGTACGCCGTCATCGTGTCACATCCATTAACAGGAGAGCTCTCGCCAGCAGCTGTATCGTATACGAGCGGTTTCTATCACATCCCAGTCATAGGAATTTCGTCAAGGGATTCTGCTTTCTCTGATAAAAATATACATGTGTCGTTTTTACGTACAGTGCCACCGTATTCGCATCAGGCGGACGTGTGGGTTGACGTACTTAAACATTTTAATTACATGAAAGTTATTGTCATTCATAGTTCTGATACAGACGGTAGAGCCATTCTTGGAAGGTAGGTATGCTAAGCAACAATTATATATTTAGTACATATATTATATATTAAACATATTAACTACAAGCTTTTTATAGGTTCCAAACTACCTCTCAAAGTATAGATGAAGACGTAGATCGTAAAGTAGTCGTTGAGCAGGTGATTGAATTTGAGCCTGGTTTGGATTCGTTTAGCGACCGCTTGATCGATGTCAAGAGCGCCCAAGCTAGAGTCTTCCTCATGTATGCTAGGTGAGGGTTGTATAACATTAAAATATTTTATCTCCTGATTTTAACCTAAAATTATAGGTAGTCAAGCTATATTATATATTCTGCCACCTGCCTAGGTACAATGGTAGAGGTCCATGTATAAATAGACTTTACGAGCTGACAAAAGAAGTTCAGTCAAGTTTTAAAATAATGATAATAACACCAGCGCAAATAATTTTGAGGTTTGCAAAGTGGACTTTTTTAATGACATCACATCAAGATACAGGAAGTTTATTCTGCGTAGGTCGCACCAAAAAGTAATAATTAAAAAGCTGAAGGTACTCCGGGTTAACTTTGATAACGGGACGTCAATCACCTCAGTTTTTTTTTTTTTTTTTTTTATAGGAGAGGGGGCAAACGAGCATGCGGCTCACCTGATGGTAAGTGACTACCGCCGCCCATGAACAACCGCAACACCAGGGGAATTGCAGATGCGTTGCCGGCCTTTTAAAAAGGAGTAGGCTCTTTTCTTGAAGGTCCCTAAGTCGTATCGGTCCGGAAAAATCCCTGGTGGTAAACTATTCCACAAGGAAGTTGTGCGAGGAAGAAAACATCTTCTAAATCGCACAGTGGTGGACCGCCAATCATCCAGATGGTGTGGATGGTATCGGGAGTTCTGCCGCGATGTGCGTTCGTGAAATTTGGCGGCTGGGATTAATCCGAACAATTCCTCAGAGCACTCCCCATGGTAGATGCGAAAGAAAATGCAAAGAGATGCAACATCTCTTCGCAGTGCCAATGAATCGAGCCGATCGGAAAGGGCTCGGTCGTCGACGATTCGAGCCGCTCTGCGCTGGATGCGGTCAAGTGGAAGGAGCTGGCACTGGGGAGCCCCTGCCCAGAGATGGGAACAGTATTCCATGTGAGGCCGAACCTGCGCCTTGTAAAGTTGCAGGCGGTGTGCCGGCATGAAATACTGTCCCGCTCTGCTGAGCACGCCAAGCTTTTTAGAGGCCAATTTGGCCTTCTCTTCCAAGTGACCACGAAACTGCACGTCACTCGATATGTCGACTCCGAGGATACCGATACTGGCTGAGGCAAGAAGGGGAGTGCCTTGAAACTGAGGAGATACGACAAAGGGGTTCTTTTTAGCGGTAAACGCGCAAACTTGTGTCTTCTGAGGATTAAACTGGACTAGATTTAGTCGCCCCCAATCCGAGACTTTGTCCAGCAAAGACTCGACTTCAGACACAAGTTTGTTCCGGTACTCGGCGACGTTTTCCCGAGAAATATTGGCCCGGCCGGTGTATAGAGCATCACCAGTGCTGTCATCCGCATAGCAATGAATGTTACCAGTTAGCAACATATCATTGATATGCAGAAGAAACAGCGTTGGTGATAGCACACAGCCTTGTGGAACACCAGCGTTAATAGGCTTGTAGTCAGAACATGCACCGTCTACAACGACCTTGATGCTCCGATCTGCAAGAAAGCTGGTGATCCAATTGCACAATTTCTCGGGAAGCCCATAGGAAGGCAGCTTCGAAAGAAGCGCTTTGTGCCAAACCCGATCAAAGGCCTTCGCAATGTCCAGACTAACGGCCAACGCCTCCCCCTTGGACTCTACTGCCTTCGCCCATCTATGGGTCAGGTAGACCAGAAGATCACCAGCTGATCGACCCCGACGAAAACCGTATTGGCGGTCACTAATCAGCTGGTGATCCTCAAGGTACCGGATGAGCTGGCAGTTAATAATGGATTCCATTATTTTGGAGAACAAGGAGGTGATCGCGATAGGCCTATAGTTGGACGGGTCTGAGCGGTCGCCTTTTTTAGGGATCGGGTGGACAAAAGCTATCTTCCATGAATTCGGGACTACGCCTTGGGAGTAGGAGTACCGGAAAAGGCGCGTTAGGACCGGTGCCAACTCCGGAGCACACGTCCTCAGCACAATTGGGGGGATTCCGTCAGGCCCACTCGACTTCTGGATGTCCAGGGAGAGAAGTGCTTTGCGAACTGAGCGCTGTGAGAATAGCACATCCGGCATGGAGCACTCACACCGCGGGATGGTCGGCGGTATTTTCCCCCCGTCATCAAGAGTCGAGTTGGACGCAAAAAGGGAGCCTAAAAGGTCGGCTTTGTCTTTTGCGTCTTGGGCCAGTGAGTCGTCCTCCCTGTGCAGAGATGGTAGTGATGGCTTACAGAAATTCCCTTGGACAGCCTTGGCGAGAGACCAGAATGCACGGGTTCCCGAAGGAAGGCGAACTAGTTTCTCGCCAATTCTGCCTATGTGCTCTGACTTTGCCTTGGCAATAACTCTTTTGAAGGACCTGGAGGCGAAGTTATACTTCTTTTTAAGTGTGCTGGTGTTTACATCCCGAGTCACCGAAGCCGCAGCCCAGGCTTGATAACACTCCTGCTTACTGCGCAATGCAGTCTTACAGGAGCGACCAAACCAAGGCTGAGATCTGCCTCCGATGGGTACCACAAATGAAGTTTTTATTACATTTTTCATTATCATCGTATCCACCCCAAGTCCACTGCTGAACTCTACTAAGATATGCCATAAAACGCCCTATGCTTACTACAAAATAAATGCTCAACGTGTAGAGTCATATGAAGTAATGAAGTTGCCACAGTGGTGTAGAATGGGTGGTTGCCGCCCGAAGTCATTATGAACCAAATTAATGATCCAAGCCGCCCATCAAACCCCAACCCCATTTTCGCAAGTATGATAAGTATATTCAAAGCATTTAAATATGGTAATACAATCTATACAAATAAATAAAATGGAAGTCTCTAAGAAGTAAATATCAGCGATGTGGTTTTTTTTGCGAATAATGGCTGCAAAGTCGTCAACTTGGTATTCTGCAAACATCGCTGATGCACTACAGAAACGAGACAATCCCTGAACACATTATTATATTGGACTCGTAGGGTGTCCAGCAACTTCTTGGCATAGCTGGTCCACAGATTTCCCGTGTACATGTTTTGGCAATATGCTTTAAAAAGGGTCACCTTTACGTCTTCGCTACAACGATAGAATCTGCGAGCCAACATATTGCCTCTAACTGAGAGAGCCCTACGTTCCCTTTCTATATCAGAGTCGTCTTTTAGGTCGTCGGTAATTATATGTCCCAGATATTTAAATTTTGATAGGTACACGTTGTATGTTCACGCCGTTCAGGGTAATGTTATTGACTTTATCGGGACATTTACCAGCGGCCTTAAACACCACGCATTCTGTCTTTTTTACATTGTATATGAGCCCATGCTCCGCAGCATATTTCTCACACACCCTTAGCATCTCGTTAAGACCCCCTGCAGTTGGACAGAGCAATACAGCGTAATTTATATTGTTGGTGCTTACTCCGTCAATACGGCATCTGACACGCATACTGCTCAACCTGACAATGAGATCATTAATATATATAAAAGCTTTTACAAAATTTTTTTTTTAAATTTACTTCGCAAATATCCGCGTTATAAAATAAAATGATGTGTCTTACCTAGTATGAAGAAGCACCTCCCGCCCTCCCTCAATTGCGTGCACTATCCCCGTCACCACTAATCCCAGCACCGCTACTCCCAACACCACTACACTAGGCAAGACACACCACTAACGATAATACGACACGTGTTTCGCCTCTACACGAGGCATCCTCAGGTGATATAGACTCTACGGTGGCTAACCGCTAAGTGAGCGGCGAGCCAAAACAAGTGCCTTTTATACAAACCGATGATGCAACCGCTCTCTACCTAAGGAGCGAGCGACTGCGTCATGCGATAAAACATGCGACCAATCACCGCTAGACTTACGCAGCCGTTTGTAAAATTAAAAACAAACCGCCGCGCAACGCCCACATTATTAGAGAGCAGGCTTGAAGATATTTAAGAGAGGTGAGTTAGTAACATTTGTTTGTTGATTCAGCAATGCAACGGTATTATTATTACTTTTTAATATCTCTAACTGTTCCAGCACACACAGCCGCAGCCCTTTATTACACGTATGTAAGACTTTAAAGGAGTGGTCGTTGGCTAGGTTGTGTCCAGTGTCCAAAAGATGTTTGGCAAAATGGGATTTATCGGAATTGCAATTCCTGTACGCGGCTAAATGCTCTTTATAACGTGTCTTGAAATTGCGACCAGTCTGACCCACGTAAACGGCGTGGCATTCATCACAAACAAGTTTGTAAACACCTGACTTTTGACGAATATCCAACTTATCTTTACTATTACAGATATTTCTAAGAGAATTGTTTGTTTTGAACGCCACATGAACGCCGTTTTGTCGAAGAGTATTAGCTACTTTTTCAGATATGGGGCCTAAGTAGGTCAAACTGCTCACATATCGATGAACACTTTGAGGTTGAACCGCGTACAGAGAGTTGCGAATAACATGCTTTTGTTTCTTTTTAATTAAATTGTTAATAAGATTTTTTTGAAAAACCGTTAGAGACCGCTATTTGATAAATTATATTAAGTTCTTTTAAATAATTTTCTTTACTTAATGGGACAGTGAACAAACGGTTAATGTAACAATAAAAAGCGGCACTTTATGTTGCCATGGATGACATGATGACGCGGGGATGACCGTGTCGGTGTGGGTTGGCTTTCGATAAATTTGGAAATCATGAACCGATTCTTTTCTTGTTATTGTCAAATCAAGAAAATTAAGGGAACAATCTTGTTCCAATTCTAGTTTAAATTTAATTTTGTCATTAAGGAAAACATCCAGTTGTCTCCTTGTGCCAGTCCAGCAAATAATTATGTCGTCTACATATCGATAGTAATATAAGATATTTTGATTGATAACTATATGTTGTTTTTCGAAATTATCCATGAAAATGTCCGCCATAAGGGGACTTAGAGGGGACCCCATAGCTAACCCTTCTTTTTGTAGATAGAAACGGTTATTAAACCGGAAATAGTTTTGTTTCATACAGAGAGAGGTTAAGTTAAGAAGATCATTTGTTTCCCCGGGATGTAAACGACGTTTTTCAAAGAGATCTGCGAGTATACGCAAACAGTCAGGGGATGGGACATTTGTGAAAAGACTATCAACGTCTAAAGATAACAATATGGATTTAGGAGGAATACGAATATCTTTAATTTTGGAAATGAGATCTAAGCCATTTTTTAGGCTGTAAGTGGGGTTGAATCCAGATTTCTCTCGAAGGAGGAAGTTTAATTTTTTAGCAAGGAAATAAGCTGGTGCACCAATATATGAGACAACTGGACGAATAGGAACATTTTCTTTATGTATTTTTGGTAACCCATATAAAATGGGTGCTTGAGGATTCATTGGAACAAGATTGCTCAAGATTGAAGTTGTTTATGATGAATGCCACGCCGTTTACGTGGGTCAGACTGGTCGCAATTTCGAGACATGTTATAAAGAGCATTTAGCCGCGTACAGGAATTGCAATCCCGATAAATCCCATTTTGCCAAACATCTTTTGGACACTGGACACAACCTAGCCAACGACCACTCCTTTAAAGTCTTACATACGTGTAATAAAGGGCTACGGCTGTGTGTGCTGGAACAGTTAGAGATATTAAAAAGTAATAATAATACCGTTGCATTGCTGAATCAACAAACAAATGTTACTAACTCACCTCTCTTAAATATCTTCAAGCCTGCTCTCTAATAATGTGGGCGTTGCGCGGCGGTTTGTTTTTAATTTTACAAACGGCTGCGTAAGTCTAGCGGTGATTGGTCGCATGTTTTATCGCATGACGCAGTCGCTCGCTCCTTAGGTAGAGAGCGGTTGCATCATCGGTTTGTATAAAAGGCACTTGTTTTGGCTCGCCGCTCACTTAGCGGTTAGCCACCGCAGAGTCTATATCACCTGAGGATGCCTCGTGTAGAGGCGAAACACGTGTCGTATTATCATCAGTGGTGTGTCTTGCCTAGTGTAGTGGTGTTGGGAGTAGCGGTGCTGGGATTAGTGGTGACGGGGATAGTGCACGCAATTGAGGGAGGGCGGGAGGTGCTTTTTCATACTAGGTAAGACACATCATTTTATTTTATAACGCGGATATTTGCGAAGTAAATTTATGTAAAAGCTTTTATATAATGGATTTCCGCAAAGTAACGCCTGATTCTATTAATTATATTAATATATATGTTGAAGGCCTCCCCCAAAGAATGCCACAAAGCACGGTCCTGAGCCACCTGCATCCATCGACTTCCTGAATGTCTTACCAGGTCGTCACTGCATCTCGTGGGGGGACGCCCTACACTTCGCCTACCGGTACGAGGCTGCCACTCGAGAACCTTTCTTCCCCATCGGTTGTCGGTTCTTCGAGCTATATGGCCGGCCCATTGCCACTTCAGCTTACTAATCCGTTGGGCTATGTCGGTTACTCTGGTTCTACTGCAGATATCCTCATTCCTAAGTTTATCACGCAGAGAAACTCCGAGCATAGCCCTCTCCATAGCTCGCTGAGCGACCTTGAGCTTCCTCATCCGGCCAGCAGTGAAGGACCACGTCTCAGTTCCATATGTCATCACTGGCAACACGCACTGGGTGTACAGTCTCGTTTTCAAGGTTTGAGGTATACCTGACGAGAAGATGTGCCGTAATTTCCCGAACGCTGCCCAACCGAGTTGAATCCGTCGATTGACCTCTCGGTCGAAGTTGGACTTACCTAGTCGGACTATTTGTCCCAACAACTACCGGCATAGGTGTGACATGGACATTAAACATGATCTTAGTTTTGTCCATGTTCATCTTAAGACCTATCCGTTGGGAAACACTATTGAGGTCATTGAGCATAGTGCTTAGGTCCTCCAGCGATTTTGCCATAAGGACTATATCGTTGGCAAATCGAAGGTGAGTGATTGAGGCCTATGTTCAGCAGTGGACTTGTGAAGGGCTGTAATGATGATGATGATGATGATGATATGTTGAAGAGTGTGGGGGACGTCAAGCTTCCCTGTCTTACCCTACTCTCCAACACATATTCTTCCGAGAGAGAGTCGGCCCATTTTACACTATTTGTCTGGTTGGCATACCAGAACTTAAATATATTTAGTAATTCAATCGGTAGTCCCCTGTTCTCCAGCTTTGCCCATATATGTTATAAGACACTAAGTCAAACGCCGTTAACAGGTCTAGAAAACAGCCCTACACCTGTGTCCCGCGATTAGTATATTATTGGACAGTGTGCTTTAAACTTATAATTGCATTCTCAGTAGATAGCCCAGACCGAAAACCAAACTGTGCGTCACTTAGCTATTTTTTCAAGGTAAGAATTAAGCACACCGTCCAGCACCTTAGCAACCGTCGTTGCCAATGAGATTGGACGATAATTTTTCATGTCCGAGATGTCACCAGTTCTATTCTTCACGATGGCCACCACAATTGTTTTTAACAATTCTTGCGGTAAATAGGAATGTTTGATACACATTGTGAAAAACAGCGCCAAAACCAAAATTTTATTCTAACTGAAAAAAATAATCAATTCATTGACATCTAAAAACCATTCTGCGTGAAAGAGAAGCATAATGCTGCAGTGTATCGTATGGTAATTGTCGAGAACCACGACACCTTTTACTGCTAACGAGGCATTCCATCTTAGTCCTCATGGTCTACATTTTGAATTTTATTCAATGATAGGTGTAAATATATGGGATAGTGCAGCCACTTACTATCGGGTAGACTCAACAAAAACATGGTCATAGTTTGAACCGTAAAATAATTTTAGTAGGTACTTGACGACGCTCTTAATTTGCAGTAAGACTGACGCGGAAATAATATTCCGTGATGCCACGTACCTCAATATGACAACCACGGGTTACGTGTGGATGGTGACGGAGCAGGCATTGGACGCCGCAAATGCACCTGAAGGTCTGCTTGGGTTGCGCCTGGTCAATGCTACTAATGAACATGCCCATATACAAGATTCCATGTAAGTAATAAGGAATACGTAAGTAACGCCTTTGTTCTCTTGCATTTATTTATTATCATTATATCATTATATGCCGTGTAGTGGCGGTCAAGAATATCCACTACCCCATATCCGCCCGTGGGTGTCGTAAAAGGCGACAAAGGGAAACAGGCAGGAGATGGGCAGCAGCATCTTCCTGATAATAGCCAAAATTACAATAAAAAAACTGCGCTCGCCAAGCGTGGCAACTATGGCAAATACCCCCGAATGATCAAAGCAACAAACAGACGGCCCCCAGTCCCCGGCGGCCCCGCTATTCCTGGCTACGGTGGCGACCATGGTAACGGCGGGGCAGGGAGTGCTAAGAATCTCCGGCGGAGGTTCGGTTGCCACCTTAGACGACTCGACCTGGCAACGTACAACGCACGCACCCTGAGGACTGACGAGAAGATCGTGGAGCTGGAAGAAGAGATAGACAAGTTGCACTGGCATATTATAGGATTATCCGAAGTCCGAAGGGAGGGGGAGGACACGGTAATCCTCGAATCCGGCAACTTGCTCTATCACCGGGACCGAGGACGAGGACCATCTGTCCCAAGGAGGTGTCGGATTTATCGTCCACAAGTCTCTCGTTAACAACGTTGTAAAGATCGGGAGTGTGTCGACGAGGGTTGCGTACCTTATACTCAGAATCACCAAACGGTATTCGCTGAAGGTCATACAGGTTTACGCACCAACCTCGGCACACCCCGATGAGAAGGTGGAGGAAATGTATGAATTTATCTCTAGAGCCATGCATTCCTCCAAAACCCAATATACGGTGTTAATGGGAGACTTCAATGCAAAACTAGGCAAAAGAGAGAAAGGTGAGCTGAAAGTAGGGAAATTTGGAATAGGGCAACGGGACCCAAGGGGCCAGCAGCTGGCCGACTTCATGGAGAAAGAGGGACTCTTTCTTCCAGAAGCGGCCCCACAGGAAGTGGACCTGGTCGGGCCCCGACGGTTCGACAAAAAATGAGATTGACTTCATTATGACGACCAGACGACAACTGTTCAGTGATGTCTCCGTGATCGCGAGGGTGAAAACTGGTAGCGATCACCGAATGGTTAGAGGCACACTGAACCTAAACGTTAAGTTGGAGAGGTCACGTCTAATGAAGTTCAACGCTCCGTCCTCCTCGTGCTCTGTTCCAAAGTCCCGAAACCTTTCAGCTCGAGTTACAAAACTGTTTTCAGTGCCTAGAAGACTGCAATGAAGTGGACGATATGAATGACAAGCTCGTGGAAACTGTCCATGCGGTCGGAGTTAAGTTCTGCAAGACCCGCCGCAGAAGAACACAAAATCTCTCCGATCACACTCTTAATCTCATGGTTGTTAGACGAAGCTACATTCTTTAACAGATTTTTTTTTATAGGATCGGGTGACAAACGAGCACACAGTCCACCTGATGGTAAGTGGTTACTGTGACCCATAGACATATACATCTATCCTCAATAAAAACTCAAGATGCAGATGCGTTGTCACCCGTGAGGACTAAGATGGAATGCCTCTTTGCTAGTAAAAAGGGTCTCCGGTTCTCTACACTCACCATACGAAACACAGCAGCTTTAAGCTGCTATTTTACGCTGGTTTTCTGTGAGAGCGTGGTCCTTCCCCGGTCGAGCCGACCCATTCGTGCTACAACAATATAATATAGCTGCAGCATGGCTCTACCACGTAAAAATTTGACAGCATACAGGCAACTGAACAGACAGATCTCCAAATGCATGCGGCGGGACTTACGCAACTACAATACAACTTGTATTGAAGAAGCGATCGAGCGGAACCAAGGCTCCAAAGACACTCACAGATCTCTTTGCCAGAGATCTGTGTGCCAGAAAGAGCCAACTGTCAAAGCTGAATACCGAATGTGACAGCATCGTTTCCGGGACACCTGAGATTTTGAGTGAGATTGAGAGGTTCTATGGGCAGCTGTACACGTCATCGTTGGAGCCACACGCAAGTGTGATTAACGATCCAAGAGCGAGTCTCATCCGACACTATTCCGAAGATATCCCGGACGTCAGTCTGAGCGAGATTAGAATGGTTCTCCAGCACCTTAAAAACGGCAAGGCCCCAGGCGAGGATGGAATTACAGCGGAGCTTCTGAAAGCGGGTGGAAGACCGGTACTTGAAGTCCTTCAGAAGCTCTTTAATTCCGTCCTCCATGGTGGCATTACACCGGAGGCGTGGAGCAGAAGTGCGGTGGTCTTGTTCTTCAAGAAAGGTGACAACACTCTCTTGAAGAACTACAGACCGATTTCCCATCTGAGCCACATCTACGTGCTGTTTTCGAGAGTCATTAAGAATCGTCTCGCGCGCAGACTTGACGACTTCCAGCCTCCCGAACAAGCCGGTTTCCGAAAGCGCTTTAGCACCATAGACCACATACATACCCTTCGGCAAATTGTACAGAAGTCCGAAGAGTACAATTTGCCACTATGTCTGGCGTATGTCGTATCTGCCTTTGATTCCGTCGAAATTTGGGCGGTGCTGTAGTCCCTTCAGCGGTGCCAAGTTGACTGTCGGTATATCGAAGTGCTGAAGTGTTTGTACAGTAGAGCTACGATGGCTATCCGAGTACAGAACCAGAGTACGAAACCTATCCAATTGCAGAGAGGTGTAAGACAGGGTGATGTTATATCCCCGAAACTCTTCACCGCTGCATTGGAAGACGTTTTCAAACTTCTGGACTGGAAAGGATACGGTATTAACATCAATGGCGAGTACATCACTCACCTTCGATTTGCCGACGATATGGCAGAATCGCTGGAGGACCTAAGCACTATGCTCAATGACCTCAATAGTGTCTCCCAACGGATAGGTCTTAAGATGAACATGGACAAAACAAAGATTATGTTTAATGTCCATGTCACACCTATGCCGGTAGTTGTTGGGAGCACTAAGCTCGAAGTTGTTGACGAGTATGTTTACCTGGGACAAATAGTCCGACTAGGTAAGTCCAACTTCGACCGAGAGGTCAATCGACGGATTCAACTCGGCTGGGCAGCGTTCGGGAAGCTACGACACATCTTCTCGTCAGACATACCTCAAAACCCTAAAACGAAATTGTACAACCAGTGCGTGTTGCCAGTGATGACTTACGGAACTGAGACGTGGTCCTTCACTGCTGGCCGTATGAGGAAGCTCAAGGTCGCTCAGCGAGCTATGGAGAGGGCTATGCTCGGAGTTTCTCTGCGTGATAAACTTAGAAATGAGTATATCCGCAGTAGAACCAGAGTAACCGACATAGCCCAACGAATTAGTAAGCTAAAGTGGCAGTGGGCCGGTCATATAGCTCGAAGAACCGACAACCGATGGGGAAGAAAGGTTCTCGAGTGGCAGCCTCGTACCGGTAAGCGAAGTGTAGGGCGACCCCCCACGAGATGGAGTGACGACCTGGTAAGACATGCAGGAAGTCGATGGATGCAGGTGGCTCAGGACCGTGCATTGTGGCATTCCTTGGGGGAGGCCTATGTTCAGCAGTGGACTTATGGCTGTAATGATGATATTCCCAAAACCTTACGTTTTTTAAAGTAAAATGCTACTTTTCTCTTTATTGTTTTTTAATTATTGTTTATTAACAAAAATATTTCTTCTGGTTAAAATTTTAATTTGTTCTTACTTCTTAGGCCGCGATATGCGAGTATTTTTACCAATAAATTTCTTAACATCGTAATGTAAAGGTCGTTCGCATAAAATTACTTTGAGTAGAAATAAATGATTTTCTAACACAGTTAAAAAACCAGTGTATTTTTTATAACAATACTCTGAGGACTAAATTAGCGTGAATGTGTCACAAATTTGATTAAATAAATAAAAAATGCACAAAAATTTCATCACAGTCAAATATAAAATTATAATGCTTATGGTCAATTATGTATGTACTCGTATATTGCTAATAACTAAGCCTAGCAAATAAGAAAAAAAGCTTACTTATATATCCACATTCATTAAAATTAAAATCATAAATAATTAACGGAAACGAATTTTTTCATTACCGGCTCGAAATATATTTTACAAATCTAAATAATTTAAATCAATTCTATGAGACGATAAATTAAAAAAAATACTTGCAAAAAACTCATCCTAGTTCAATCATATCCAATTCATTATCTTAATTTATTTCCACTTTTATAACGGATGATAATGAACCAGATTGGAAGGTAATGAAACACTAATCATAACTACATACTAATCAACATTTTTGTAAAAATAATTTGCTTTACGTAAAATTGATCATTATTTATCATCCATATCTGAATATTGAAAGCATTTTACTTATTTATTCATTTATTTATTCTTTATTGATTGATAAAAGTTTACTGAAAAGGGCGTACTTGAGGCATTCTCTACCAGAAGCCCTGCCATTATTTAAAGGTCGAAAAACGCATCAGCTAAATTCGTGTATATTAGATAATTTTTATATTTTTATAATATCGCGGATAAAACACTTCCTTATTTAGGATAAAACAAAAAAGGAAAACTACGTAAGAATGAGTAATGCAAAAGAAAGAAAAATAAACAGATCAGTCCCTTTTGATCTGTTTATTTTTATTTTTCTATTCACGTGGTCTTTTTTATTCAAAAGATAAAAGAAAGATTGAGACAAATATTGGTAAAGCACAGAAAAATATTTGTTGTATCAATGATAGATACCAGAGCATGAGCACAAAGAGAACAGAGAAAATGTATTTAAAATATAAATAGCAAAAAGTATAGAAAAAAAGAAGAAGGAAATCGAAAGAGTAATAGATAATTTGCCAATGATAGTGAAACAAAATAGTATGTAAGTGATGACATTAACTCCACGAAACCAAGCTCCATTGAAAATGAAAACCGAAGGACGTTCAAAATACAAATTGTTAGTTTTTAAACTGCAACTGCAAGCACATGCCGTGTGCATTACCATCCCTCAGCAATATTACCTTTCAGGCTTATTTCCTTACTTTCCATGGAATCATTACATTCTGTTCTTTTTTTGAAAATCATTCAATATAACCCTTTCTCTTAAAGAGAAATTTTTTATTTTAGTAATTTTTAAGTTATATACAATATGTAACAAAAACCCTGTGGTTCCCGTTAAGTACGTTATCAGGATCATAATTCAAACGTATAGAAATAACTTTTTTTTAAAAACTCGAACAATATTTTTTTTATGTTATTTAAATAAAAAATAATTGTATGCAAATTGTATGTGGTTTTATTACCTCTGCATTGTCAGGGGAGTAAAGAGATTGTCAAAGACCCCGCTTTACTTAGATTTAGCATCGGCTAGTGTCAGTAAGATGTAATAAAACCACATAAAATAATTTTTTTTATAAAATGATAAAAAAAATGTGATCGAGTTTTTAAAAAAAAGTTATTTCTATAGGTTTGAATACTGATCCTGATAACGTACTTAACGGGAACCACAGGATTTTTGTTACATGTTGTATATATAAATATATATATATATATATATATATATATATATATATATATATATATATATATATATATATATATCTTTATCTACTGAACTGATTTCAATGAAATTTTGCACACTATGTACATTTTGGTCCAACTTGAAAGATAGGATAGTATTTATCCCGATAAATGACCCTCCAGCTAATATATACAACATGTAACAAAAACCCTGTGGTTCCCGTTAATTGCGTTATCAGGATCATTATTCAAACGTATAGAAATAACTTTTTTTTTAAAACTCGATATATATATCAAAAAGTAATCCAATCTTCGATCAACAATACTAAATCCAATTTTTTTTCTCGCGTAACAGTCCGATTTAGGCGAACGGACGGAATGACTCTAATATATATTTACTATTCCTAGCTATGTATTAGCGTCTGCGATACGTGACATGAACACCTCTGAAGAGATTCATGCCCCTCCATCTGACTGTGACAACTCAGGCTCTATTTGGACAACTGGACGATTGCTATTCGACTACATTCGTCGGCAAAGTTTAGAGAATGGTGCTACTGGACACGTGGCATTTGACGATCACGGCGATAGAGTTCACGCGGAGTATGACATGGTGAACGTTAGGGCACAGGGCGAACATGTTGCAGTTGGGAAATATTTTTATTCTAAGGTACGTTTTTATGACTTATAAACAATACTGGGAAGTTCATAATAAAGTAATATTAATAAACTAAATTTTAATAAATTACAACTTAAACAATAATTTGATTAAATTTATGTTAATTGGTCATGCAGGAAACCCAAAAGATGCGTCTGGAACTGAAGGAGCACGAGATCATTTGGATGGGCCGAAGTTTATCGAAGCCTGAAGGGTTTATGATACCGACTCACCTCAAGGTAACTTTTTAAGAAAACTACATATAACATTAAAACAATGAAGTATATGTGTGATAATAAATATTATAATAGTGGTTTTGCCATGCGGTTTCAACAAAAAAAAAAAAAAACAGAAAAAACTCTTTTGCTTTATTATATTAGTATAGATTGAAGGTATTAATTTAAAAACTTAAATAGAATCTAAATAGATATTTTATCTGTAACTTAATAAAGAACAATATAGGTAGTACTTATTGAGATACTTAGAGATGTGTCGAGATTGTAGTGAGTTTTTGTTACATACGAGTAAAAGAAATAAGGCTCTGAATATTCCCGCATAGTAACTAGGTACTATGAAACTTACATATTACGACCGACAGGATAAAATCTGCATTGGATTACGACTACATTCACACTAAAGAGCTTTTAGGTCATTAAGTGTTTTCAATTTTAAAAAGTAAAATTAATAATAATCAATAATAACATTAAGATCGAATAGTGTTTGTATGTAAGTAATATAATCACAAATTCCGTTTTTATAATCTGTCGATTATCGCGAAATTGTCTACTCAATCCAATTCTAGCTTAAATGTGAGTAGAATCCCAATTTATCTAATAAGCTACCGTAATATGTGAAACATTTCATCCAACATTAACACATTTTGATTTCTCCTTTCAATTTTATAGCGGACATTTTAATCCCTAGATACATAATTATACGTCACAAAACATCCTTTATCTTTCACCAATGAGTAAGATAATCTACAGTTTAAAAAAGTAGAATGAGCAATTTATTCCGAGATAATTCAGAGACACTGGTTCTAATCCGTTCCCGATGTAAAGCAATAAGATCGAAGGTAGATAAGATCTTAACAGAGGTAGGTGCATGCCTAGGGGCACAAGGTTACAAAGAGGCGCGTGCTGAAGTTTATAAACGGGAAAATTAGTAAGTATTTACTTATATATAAATAAAAAAATATATACTTTCTATAGAAATGTAGAGCTTCCTAAGCGCGCTCCGTCTACTTGATTACTCCTATATAGCAATCACTCTCTCGTCGCGTTTTTCATTCACGCCCACCTGTTACGTGTCCAAATTATTTAGCAACTGAATTATGTTATAAAGTAAAATATTTGCCAAATAAATAGTGTTAATTCAAAATATATGGCCGCCAGAGGGTCGCCGATGAAGGTGCTAGCCTGGGTTGTTATCGATATTTAATCTGTGTCTGGATCTTACAGAACTTGGAGGTAATCAAAACACCTAAAAATATGAATCTTCAAAAATATTAAATCCGAGTGACAATCGTGACGGTTATTACAAATCATTCCTACACAGGTTTTTATTTCCCAGGAGTGGACTCTTAAAAAAAGGCTGATAAAGAGAGCAGAAGACAAACAAGATGATATTACAAAAAACATTTTTTTTATTAAATTTTATAAATTAATATTATGTTCTAAATATTATGTAGGTGTTGACAATAGAAGAGAAACCATTTGTGTACGCGCGTCGTATCTTCGACGACAGTGATTGCACACCTGAAGAAATACCTTGTCCACATTACAACGCTAGTGATGACATTGGTAAGTGTTAAAGGTTACAGCCTATATAATATGTACTCGTATATTATACGTCCCACAGCTGCGCACAGGCCTCCTCTCACTTCTGAGAGGGTTTTAGAGCAAGTAATTGTCAAGCGCGCTGCCCCAACTTGGCGGACTTCACATATCTTCCAAATATTTTTTTCATTTCTCAGACATGCAGGTTTCTTTATGATGTTTTCCTTCACCGCCGAGCACGTGGTAAATCAGCACTTAAAATTGCAATTAACAACATCATTGGTGCCGGCGGGCATCGAACCCGGGTTGCTCGCTGAAATTTACAGCGAGCGCATAGCCCCTGAGCTACTACGGTTCTTCGGTTAATTTGTTAGAACCACAAAAACCTGAAATCGAAGCCAATTTACTGTATGACTGAAAACGGTTTCATTCTGTTAATAAACATTCACAGATGTAAATATCCACTCTTTGTGTTATTAAGAAAAATGATATGGGTCACATTCCAAAGAAAATAAATTCACTAGATGGAGTGACGTCTTGGTGATGCAAGAAATCGATAGATGAAAGTGGCTCAGGACCGTTCTTTTTCACATTCCTTGGGGGAGGCCTATGTTCAGCAGTGTACTTGAGGCTATAATGATGATGATGACGATGATTCAAAAGAAATGATCTTTATTTTTTCTGACATTCAATAAAATTCTTACGAAATATCAAGTTGTAATCTTGTAATTGTCCGTTTCTTGTAGACTATATGTTTTGCTGCAAGGGTTTCTGCATAGACCTGTTACGCTATTTATCGAAGGCAATCAATTTCACGTACTCGCTCGCGCTCTCACCAGACGGGCAGTTCGGAAATTACATCATACGTAATTTATCCGCACCAGGAGCAAAAAAAGAATGGACGGGGCTTATAGGTAAAACAAAATATAGATTTTTTTAAAGCTTATAACATTACCTAACATAAACACTCATGCTTGTCACCCAGAGGGGTAGACAGACACTACGTACCTACTTCTATTTCGCGATCCTGACACACCTCTCTCGCCTCATACACATCCATATAAGTAAAGGGTACTCTGAATTTGTCTCATCTTAAATATTTTGCTTGTTTGGTCGATAAAATTCCGTCTCTGCCACTCGATTCTGCACTCTCTTTCTCATTCTTTTTCTACTTAACCAAACCACCGAAGCATCCTGGTGACAACATCTTCTTGCAAACCACACTTTTCTCTTATTACACAATTTCTCACCCTGGCATTCAGAATCTCTCCTAATATACCCCCTAATAACCGCACAATGACAAATTTTACTTTCGTGCTTCTTCTATTTTCACTACAACTAACACAGCATTGTGAACTGCCCCTTACGTGCCTGTTTTGACACATTCTGACTTTCACTAGAGTGAAGAACCCCATTTACTCGTGTGTCCTGCATTCACTCGTCGTTCTATATATCCTTTTCATGTTTGGAATTCCTGCTCATCCTACCACATACTTTGTAAAAATAATTTATGTTTTTGTGCTTTTACGTAAAGCAAACTTTTAAGTTACAAAGTTTTTAAGTAACATTGACCCATTATTTATAATCCATATCTGAATATTATAAGCATTTTTAAAGCCCTACTATTATTTAAAGGTCGAAAAGTGTATCAGTGAACCTCGGGTAGTAGATAATTTTTATATTTTTAAAATATCATGGATTAGAAAAAATATATAAAAATAATACATTCACTTGCTCGACCAATTTCCCTTCTGATCTTATTTCCCTTCTGATCTTATTTCACGTATCGTTTTACTTTCTTCCCTTTCATAAACCATCACTTTCAACTTACTAGCGTTTACTTTCATTACCCTTTCTTTTAATGACCTGTTCATTAATGTAACCGTTATTTGCTACTCTCCCGCCGACGACGCAAATACAACTTAATCTTCGACATACAAAAGGCATTTGACGGTTAATTCGTCCATTCTTAAACCAAAATTTTTAACTTTTTAACTGTCCAAAAAATTATCCAAAAAAGATTAAACACTGAACAGCCATGAGAAAGCCTCACAAGTCACAACCCTGTCTGACACCTTTATGGATGCCAAACCAGTTCGAGTAGGCCCCGTTGATCTTGACATAAGCACTAAAGTCCCTTTATAGAGATTTTAACGCCTGTATCAGCCCAGCGCACAACCTAAACGAGGTTAGTGTTTGCCATAAAGTAACCTCATCCGCTCAATCATAAGCATTTCTTAAGCCCATAAATGCACAGAAAATTATGCGCATAGAAAAGATCTAATCCTTATACTTCTTAATCCAGTTTACAGTAGCTTTCTAAATTCAACTTGCACCAAAATTTTCCGTCAGTTTCTTCCACAACTCTTCCAATAAATAGTTTATCATAGAGTTTTCCTATCCCTACAATGCTAAGTAGGCTGATTCCATCGTAGTTTTTATAGTCCTGCTGTGACCCTTATACCTTATATAGTGGGACTATAACCGCTTTGCAGTCTCTCGATATCGCGTAAGTTTCCAGCATACATTAAAGAAAGTGTATAGTAGGCCAGGCAGACTCTCTCTCCAGTGCTCAGCATTTCTAGTGACACTTTACCATGCCTTACCTACTTACATGCATTTCCTTCTCCTGCTTCCTTGCTTTCGGAGTTTCTAGCGTCTCCTCACAACTAAACAGGCTTTCAAAGTATTGCTTCCATCTTTTTAAAATGAAAACGTCTGCATTCAAAATACAGCCATTCTCGTCTGGTATAGCATTTATTCTCAGCTGTTCAAACTTTCCCCTGGCAGTTTTGACGAGTTTCCAGAATATTTTTAATTTGCCTGCCTTACTCGCTACTGACCTATTTTTACTTACAGGTGAACTGGTTTACGAACGCGCTGATATGATAGTTGCCCCTTTGACAATAAATCCCGAACGTGCAGAATTCATTGAGTTCAGTAAACCGTTTAAGTATCAGGGTATAACCATATTGGAAAAGAAGGTGAACTTTATTTTTTTCTATGTAATTTTGATAAATTATGTATTAATGCTACTTATTAAATTATTTTAGTAGTATTATATGTTTGCTAGAAAGAAACGTGTGATATAAAAGTTTCTTTACCTCTCTGTCATAAACTCATTTATTATAACCAATAAAAGTCTACAGCTGAACATAGGCCTTCCTCATAGATTGCCTCATATGAGGAATATCTGCCATATTTGTTTGGCAGGCGGGTTGATAACCGCAGTTTTTTTTAAATTATTTTGAGTTGGTTTTTGGGAGATGCTGTACATCTCCTGTTTAATTTTACCTTTTCCATCTCTGTTGCCATTTGCGACATGGGGTAGTCTCTCAGTAACTGTCTCATAATTATGACTGAAAAGCATAATTTACAATCGTATTCTTTTTGCCGATTTCAATGGCGGCAGTCAATTTTCAGAAAGGTAAAAGTTATAAACTAAAAGGTATCTAAAAGTTAATTAGTGCTTAGTATAGTATTTATTATAACATATAAATTTCAAATAATATTAATAAAAGAGATAAATATTTTGAGATTTTTGTCTTACAAATCTTTATAAATAAACATCACATTGTTTGTCCGCGATGAACTCCTAAACTACTGAACTGATTTCAATGAAATGTTTCACAATGTGTGCAGTTTGGTCCAACTTGAGAGATAGGATACTTTTTATCCCGATAAGTGACCTTCAATATTTTTTTATTGCGAATTTAAGGATTTTTTCATAGGAAGGGTCGTCGGAAAGGGCAGAACAAAGTCTGCCTGGCCACCTAGTAAAAATTATAATTTTATTTTGGGGTTTAAATCCAGGATGGACCAGGAAATACATTTCGTTGAAATACGTTACACAAATTATTCAAGCTATTTACAAGAATATTATTAACGATACAGCTCCTTTTGTTTTCTACAAATTGTTTGTATCTGAAATAATTTGTTCACAGCCATCTCGCTCATCAACTTTAGTATCATTCTTGCAACCGTTCTCCAACACACTCTGGATATTAGTGATGGTGTCGGTGCACGTGGTGGCACTGGTGCTATACCTGCTTGATAGATTCTCACCTTTCGGAAGGTTTAAATTGGCGAACATTGACGGTACAGAGGAGGACGCTTTGAATCTTTCTAGTGCTATTTGGTTTGCGTGGGGCGTGCTACTGAATAGTGGTATCGGAGAAGGTGAATATATTTTACTTCTTCTTTGATCGTTTAATTGTGTACTTCTGCAAACATGGGCCAGCTTTCGTCTATACGAGGGCGACACTGAAAGTTTTTAGAACTGGCCCCTAGTAAACGATATAATAAAAAAATAAATTCAAATTTAGAAAATGGAACTCTTTGCCAATATTATTGTGAATGTATTTTATTAATTTGTCATTTGTTTACGATTTGGCGGCAAATTGAAAATTGTCTGTGTTACATCAGCATGAATTTAACGCGAGAAAATTTTCGTAGAATGTTTTTTTTATAACTTTTGATGTCATTTAAGTCAACAACAAAGTTATGATAGACTTCGATTGGCCTTGCACGATGAAGCCCCATCTCGTGCCTTCACTGTTTACAATTAATGAGTTTAAACGTGGTCGAACTAATCCCACCGATTATATGCGAGAGGGACGCCCTTCTACGGCGACGACTGAAGTTAACATCAGTGTTGTGCGGCGTATAGATAGATTAATCTAAGGATACGCATAATCTACGTGTTGCAGATAAAAAAAGATGTGAAAATGTGCCCCGGGAAATTAAGTTGTTGCATCATTTAAAAACAACTCGCCAAAGTTTTATATGAATTGGATCAATGATGTATGAAGGCATACTAGACAAACATTCATTTTATATAATTACATACATATAGTTGCAATAATTACGGCCTTATTCATTACAGCCTATCAGAATCTACTGCTGGATATAGGCCTCCCTATAAATTATAGCGGGCATATTTGCCATAGTTGCCAAGTAAAAAAATATTAGTAAGTGGCAACCGTAGTTTTTTATTTTTCTGTGTTATTAGGACACTGCTGCTCACCTGATTTCACTCTGCCGTCTCTTATGACATCCAAGGAACGATATGGGATAGTTTATATTCTTACACGGACTCTACACGACAATTGCCACCTAACTATTGATACCTATTTCTCTTCTTTAGAATACAAAGGTTTTAAAATTAAATAACTTGTTTTGGTTTTTAAGTTATTTTTAAAATAAATACAAAATTGTGTTTTTTTTTTTAAAACGAGGAACTCAAAAATATCACAAATTAGTACTTAATCCCTGTGGGTAATATTTTGTTAATTTACATTTACAGTACTTACGGATTAACAACGACAACGCACACAAAATATTAAAACTCGACAGTTCACTCTTATGACCAATTCACTTATTTCATGGTAAAAATATTCCGTTTTTTAAAGAATTGGGGCGAAAACGAACGCACAGTCCACCTGATGGTAAGTGGATGCTGTAGTCCATAGACGCAAACATCTATCCTTAATTAAGAATCAAATCAAAATGTAGATGTTGGTGTCACCCCTAATGCCTCAAGAAATGGTTCGCCAGTTCATACACTCATCATATGATATGTACACACCATGTATATTATGAACACAAGCAGAACTAGCTGCTATTTTCACTGTTGCTTTGTGACAGCGTGGTCCTTTCCCGGTCGAGCCGACCCGTTCGTGTTGCAGTCTTGCAGTCATAATATAGCTGCGGCGCGGCGTGGCTCCACCACGTTGAATTTTATTGAAACGAAATATTTATAGTAAGTAAATAAAAACTATTTTGTTAAAGGCACCCCGCGCAGTTTCTCCGCGCGAGTGCTCGGTATGGTATGGGCCGGATTTGCGATGATCATCGTAGCGTCGTACACAGCTAACTTGGCCGCTTTTCTCGTGCTTGAACGCCCGAAGACAAAGCTGACTGGAATAAACGATGCAAGAGTATGTTGGTTTCACTGTATCACACATCTAGCTATTGACGCTTTTATTGAACATGCAGATATTTTACTCGCCTATTAAATTTTGATAGTTTACTTTATTGTTTTCACTGCGTATTTTTCTACAGCTACGTAACACAATGGAAAATCTAACGTGTGCGACGGTAAAGGGCTCGGCAGTAGATATGTATTTTAGACGCCAAGTTGAACTGTCCAATATGTACAGGACTATGGAAGCCAACAACTATGATAATGCTGAACAGGCCATTCAAGACGTGAAAAACGGGTACACTCTCATCATAAACTACATAGATTAATTATAGTGCAATAGCAGCAGTGGCAACATTTACTACATTTAGTTAAATAAATAAAAATTATATTTAATGTTAGAGTATAGATTATTTATGATCTATTGCCATTACAGTCTACTAAAGCCCACTGCTGAACATAGGCCTCCCCCGTAATTGGCTATTTGCCATATTTTTTTACTTTTAGTGGTTATTAGAAAGGTGCTGCTGCCAATCTCCTGATTTGTTTCCTTTTGTCGCCTCTTAGGTACGACACCCACGGGATGATATGGGCCGACAGCTGAACATTGGCCACTTCTATCGTCGAAAGGATTTACCTTATATATATATATACATGCTTGGCAGACTGATTGTCGATCACACTAGTATATATAGCTTTAGTATGTACTGAATAAATGCCTTGTACATTTGACGTCACTACACTACACGACACTAGACGGTTATATGCGATTTTTCAAAATCGCCTCTTACGACACCCGCGGGTAAAGTTGAGTAGTAGATTTTCTTGCTTCGTCACTACACGATCATTACTTAAACGTCCAAAAGGTCAAAATCTTATTATAAAGACAATGGATTTCTAAAAGTATGTAATGCTTATGTGGAACGGATGTAGGAGGGGGTCATTTTGGAGATGAAAGTTAGCTGCATTACCTTAAAGGTAAGTAGCTGAACATAGGCCTCCCTTATAGGCTGCCTCATTGGGGGGATTTGCCATAGCTATTACGCTTGGCAGCCGCAGTCAGTAGATGAGTTGATATCAGGATAGATGTGATCCAGTTTTCCTCTGTCGCCTCTTACGACACTCATTTAACGATATGGGGTACTGGATGTTCTTACAGCGCCTCTACACGGTTACTGAACTGTCGAAATGTGATAATGAAATAACTTCCATTAAGCTCAGGAGTCGTTTGCATGCTATTAAGGCACGGCTGTCTTCGCGCAACAATGTGGTTTTATAAATAAATTCTCAATTGCAGGAAACTTATGGCATTTATTTGGGACTCCTCTCGTCTAGAATTCGAAGCCGCACAGGACTGTGAACTGGTAACCGCTGGTGAATTATTTGGTCGATCGGGATATGGAGTTGGTTTGCAAAAGGGATCCCCATGGGCGGACTTAGTCACTCTAGCAATCCTAGATTTTCATGAAAGTACGTTTGATCACGTTAATAGTTAACAGTCTATATTTATAAAACGTAGGCAGTCAATAAACATAAAAGTTTAGGGGCTAAGCTCTCGCTGTTAATTTCATGGCATGAGAGCTATCTGATTTCGATCCCCGCCGGCACTAAAATTTAAAACGTGGTAGAGCCATGCTGCAGCTATATTATGGTTGTAGCGCGAATGGGTCGGCTCGAACGGGGTAGGACCACGCTCTCACAGAATACCAGCGTAAAATAGCTGCTTAACGCTGCTGTGATTCGTATAGTGAGTGTAGAGAACCGGAGACCCTTTTTACTGGAAACGAGGCATTCCATCTGTCTTCATAGATGACAACACATCTGCATTTTGATTCTTAATTGAGTATAAATGTAGATGTCTATAGGCCACAGCATCCACTTACCATCCGGTGGACTTTGTTCTCGTTGTATTCTATAAAAAAAAAAAACAATGTAGAATGCTGATTTACCAAGTGCTCGGCAGTGAAAGAAACGGTTTAAGGTAAACTTTTCGCCACTTAGACGATGTTGTCTAGCTATTATACATAAGTCTGCTGGACAACGGAATGCTTACATCTATCGGAGGCTATGATATCTTTAAGGCATTTTGCAGTCTTTTTAGGGTTCCATACACAAAGGTAACCAACGGGACACTATTACTAAGCCCGTCCGTCTGTTTGTCGGCGGGCTGTATCTCATGAACCGTAATAGGTCAACAATTGAAATTTTGACAAATAAAACTAAATTAAAAATTAAAGAGGGCTCCCTTACCAGAAAAGTTTTTTACGACGGTACGGAACACTTCATGCGCGAGGCCAAGTAGCACTTGGCCGGTTTTTTTATAGGATATGGTGACAAACGAGCACACAGTCCACCTGATGTGGTTGCTGTGACCCATAGACATCTACATCTATCTATCTATAAGGAATCAAAATGCAGATGCGTTATCACCCGTGAGGACTAAGATGGAATGTCTCTTTTCCAGTAAAAATGGTCTCCGGTTCTCTACACTCACCATAGGAAACATAGCAGCGCCAAGTTGCTATGTTACGCTGGTATTATGTGAGAGGGTGGTCTTTCTCCGGTCGTGCTGAACCATTCGTGCTACAACTATACTACTAATATAGCTGCAGCATGGCTCTACCACATATAAAATCCCCTCTCAAGACACTCACACTCAGAGCATACATAAGCAAGCTATGCTTAATACGCCCATATGTGTGGCCAACCGTTTCCTTTTCTAGTCATAAGCCAGGTGAGTTCAATTGTTAACATACTATTTCCTTTTAAACTTTACTAGATAGTGTTAGAATTATTTTTCTTGTAAATTTGGAGACACCAAATTTTTAAGGGAACACTCGATTTACAAGTCATTGTGTACACATAACCATGGTTATTTATAGTGCCAACATCTACCTTATTATAATTAGAATGTTGGCACTCTTTCCATCTCTTTTATTAACTACTTTTTTACTTAGTAGCAAGTCGCAATGTACGAAATTCACACGTGAGTTGAATTTATTCTTTCACGCACAGGTGGTATCATGGAGTCTCTAGACAACCAATGGATACTTCGTAACAATATGCTCAATTGCGAAGAAAACGAAAAAACACCGAACACTTTGGGTCTGAAAAACATGGCGGGAGTATTCATTCTCGTTGCTGCTGGCATTGTTGGCGGGATAGTGCTGATTATCATTGAAGTTGTATATAAGCGCCACCAAATACGAAAACAGAAGAGGATGGAGATAGCTCGCCACGCGGCCGACAGGTGGCGCGGCACCGTTGAGGTAAACCGGACAAAGATCGAAGCTAACAACCACGTCGTCAACAAACAACAAATCGAGACCAAAATGTAAAACTTGTACTTCCCTTTACACGTTTACATGCAAGAATATTGTTATCGACCAATATATCTATACAAAATTTTATCGCTCATTTACAAAAATAAACGCGTTGCAATTTAATGTAGACTGATTTCTTGATAACTCTTGTCCCTGCTGCTTGTATTCATTGGATATAAAGTTAAGTTGTCGTAAGTACTAAATGTTTTATATGCATGTGAGAGTGGTTGTTTAAAATTAATAACGAGTTTTGTTACAGAAACGGAAGTCGTTGCGAGCATCGATACTGCCATCTCAGCGTCGTGCAAAGTCTAACGGATTTAAAGAAGCCGGGACTATTAGTTTGGTGGTGGATAGAAGTGCAAGAAGACGTGATGAGCCTCGCGTGCCAAGATATTTGCCAGCTTACACTCCTGATGTATCCCACCTTGTAGTTTAAACCAAACTATCTCATAAAGTAATTTAACGATTAAAGTTTAGTGGAAAGCTTAATGTTCATTCGTATTCAATTTATCTTAAAAGAATAATGAAGCAGTTTAAAAATATTAAAAAAGCCTGATAATATAGCATAAAACCTTATTACCTTTAAACTAACGGGGATCGCACTTACTTTTCTGCCGACTTCAAAAAGAAGACTGTACTCAATTGGACAGTGTTTTTTGTGTGTAACCTCAACTTTTTACTGGGTGAACCGATTTCGATGATTCTTTTTTTATTTGAAAGCTGATACTTCACATGTGGTCCCATATAATGAACGATGATGATCAAGGTCAGACTAATAATTTTTGAGTTATTCTTAATTATTTATATTGAAGTCGGCTGTACAAAATTTTAATTTTAAATTATTAGGGAAACAAATCCGCCGATAAACAAAAATACCAATAACTCTCACTAAGCATGGTTCTAACACATGAGTAAGAAACTCTTTACTCTGTTGTTCTAAGCTTCATGTATCCATCGAGTTTGTTATTTCGGTTTACTCGTCCCGTACTCAGGTTCTGTTTCTATTCCAACGTCCTTGTTACATAAAGATCATTGCTCGTATCTCGTAAGGGACTTTTGTGATCTTTCTCATCCGGTCAACAGTGAAGAATCACTTCTTGGTCAGAGTTGTAATGTTGATTGTGATAAAATATATAACACCCGGAATTAAAATATTTTGTCAAGTAGTTGTGCAAAACTTCAAGTGTGGTTTATGTAAATTAATTAATTAATTGAAATTTTTTACGTGCCTAGATGTATGATAATATGCATTATGCATTTACATGTAGATTAATAGAATATAAGGCTGTGACATATACATAGAAAGGCATAAATTAAAATTACCTTTATATTTTCTGTTGATTAATATTATTAAGAGCTCTTTTAGTAAGTATAACTATAGTTCGTGTTTTCCGTCGTCTTACAATATATAATAAAAAGAGTATTGGCACTAATAAATATATTATAATCATTTATCGTATATTAAACCTACACGTCATAAAACTATAAGAATATTATTTTTAAGTCATAGTTCCCTCACATCTTAATTGTTGTGATTATAGTTTTACAAGATTTTATTTTGTTTATACTTTGTAGACAGTGGCGCGCTGGGGTTGGGGAATATTTTTATTGAATATTAAGTCATTTTTGTAACTCTACTACAAATGCAATAAATAATTATAATATAAAAAATTATAAATTTATTCCCGACAGTAAAATAATACGTTTATAATCTTTATTCGTGTATAAAATACTCTCCTAAATGCCTTGACCGATTTTACTGAAATTATGGGGTCACCTGATTGGTTATGTCAGGTGGCGCTGTTATCGAGATACAGAAATCACCCGTATGAAGCCGGGGCGGTAGATTTAAGGTGGAAGCGCCAGGGTATCCCGCGAAATTCAAATTTTCTTACGTTTTTTGCAATTTGCAGGTCAGTGTCAGGTTGTATGTTTAACAAAATATGATTCGCGACCGTAACGAGTATGTATTTACAGAATTATAATCATTATAATCATCAGTACAACCGTCTATGTTCGTATAATTCCAATGTATGGCTATTTCCAGAAAAACTCATTCAAAGGGATTATATGAACTTAAGAGGGTTGTATTGGTGATTTAAATGATTAAGTCTATAAACACATACTCGTTACGGTCGCGAATCATATTTATTAAATATTCAACCTGACCCCGACCTGCAAATTCCAAAAAACGCAATAAAATTTGAATTTCGCGGGCCACCCTGGAGCTTTCACCTTAACGTGGCAGAGCCATGCTGCAGCGATATTATGGTGGAAACAAGAATGGGTCGGCTACGACCGAGGAAGTACCACGCTCTCTGAGAATACCAACGTAAAATATCAGCTTAAAGCTGTTGGCATAATGTATATTTGTCAATATATATCTTATATAATAATAACTTCAATACATATTCATTTTGTTTTTAATTGATAGTTAAAATATAAATAGAATTGATGTACGAAATGAAAGACCATTTTAACACATCTATATATTTACATAAGAATTTCAACAGTGCCATAATGGGAATTATACATTGTACCTTATTTAGTAGCTATACGCTATGTAACTGTCGAAGCAAGCCATGACCTAAGTAATGCCAGGATAAAAAGAAGCAGGAATGTGTTTGTTGCTGGAAGGTTCCAGAGCGACACTACACTGCGACTAGTCAAATCTTTATCTCGATTTGAGTGGACATAGCATAGGATGCTGCTGTCGCTCTTGAATCTTACAACCCTAAATAATTCCTTACAAATGCTTTTGGAAGTATGGGGACACAGAGGAAGATTACATGAGAAATTTAAATCTTCAAATGCAAGGGTACATACTGTGCTATTTTATACTGCAACATTGACATTTGTTCAGTGTAATGTATAACTTTGAAACAGTACATAGAATATGTGAATAATTTTATAGAACAGCAACATTATTTTAAATACATTGTTTCCAAAAACCTATATACTAAATCCCCTGATTACATATGGGGCTACATAAATGAATTGCATTAATTAAATATTTTATTTATTATATTGATATATTTAAGGCGAAACTAATATACAGTATACTCAGTAAAGTATTCAGTGCACAGTGGGTCAATGCCAGGCACCAGCAAACTTACATGATCACACATTTAGTTTAATATTTTTTACGACTCAATGGTTCCATTCATCATTACACATTCTAAACAGCGATAAAATTGTACGCATTTACATAATATAATATTAATTAGGCAAAGGAAAAAACACTTAATAATATTTTAGTTCTACTAATTATGAAACTTTAAATATATTGTTAGTAGTAACGAGTGTAGTATCACCAATTTAATCAGTGAATTTACGGTTAGGGTTACGACCGAACAGGGCTGTACGTATCTCGGGCAGCAGCTGCTGGGCGATCAGCTCCAGTCGCGACTCCAGGGTGTTGCTGATCTGTAAATATGTTTAGATATGATAAACGTTTTATAAATACCGAAAATATATGTTAGAAAAAAAAAAAAATTGCATATCGCAAAAACTTGTACCCCTTTTTGGTCGATCCTATGTTTGGTGTGTCTATCAAGGTAAAAACGTTTGGCGTACAACATTCACATTCATTTAAATATGTGTTACAAAGAGTATCCAGAGGAAATCCTAATCCGCTGCATGGGCAACAGAAAGGTTATGTATATAACTGGCTAAGATCCCACGGTAGTCACCACCAGCATATATTTTTTTTATAAAATAAGGGTAACAAACGAGCACACAGTCCAGCTGATGGTAAGTGAATGCTTGCGGCCCATAGACATCTACATTTATCCTCGATTATGAATCAAAATGCAGATCCGTTGTCACCCTTGAGGACCAAGATAAAATGCCCCGTTTCCAGTAAAACAGGATCTTCGGTTCTCTTCCCTTACCATACGAAACAGCAGCAGCATTGAGCTGCCATTTTACATCCGCTCTGGGCTATCGGTTTTATTCAAACAAAAGTTGTGATCTCGATAAAAAATGTATTGAGAGTGTTTGATATAGGCACTATAATAATAACAAAACTACTGGATAAGAAAAACTCCTATTACAAAGAAGACAATCTGCTTCTTACCTTGATGCGTCCCTTAAAGGCGATGAGTTCGATACCACCGCATGTGTCAGCCGGCAGGAAGTTTTCGGAATCGATCTTCAGCTGAACATCCTTCTTAATCTTGTTCTTATAGTCATTCTGGGCTTGACCGATCACGGATTCCACCAAATCCTTGTCGACTTGTCGGATGCGGAGTGTTACTGCTGGCTCCATTAACTGGGTTACGAGCAAAAAAAAATATATTTCTACATCAGCCTGTAAATAGTCCCCTGCTGGCCTCTCCTATATTAGTATTTTACTTGTGGTATATTTGAGATGGGTATACTGTTACATAATATGCTAACGCGGTATCCTAATACATAATATGCTCGCAGCTCGCGTGTTGTTGCGAGGTAACGAGTGCCTGTTTACACTCTAGCGATGCGTTCAGTTTGCGATGAGCCAGCAACGATGAAAGACGGCGAAATAATAGCGGCATAAACTCTTGCCTTAATAAGTATTTATCGATGCTTGATCATTTTAAAAAGAAGGAAATTAAAAAAAATACGTCGTTGAGGAAGAATATGGTGGATAATATCTATTCATCGGAACAGATTATTTTCAGTTTCATAATTTTATATAAATTGCTAGTACCTATTGTGCAAGATTAAATAATATTACTTTATTAAATTTGTAATTTTAAAACAAAAGCAATTCGAATGTTATTATGGAAGGGCGCCGTAAACAAATTGAAACGAGAGTGCGAGCGTAAACACCACGCTCGCGTCCCTCGCGAGGCCCTTTGCCTCGTGCCCAAAAAACCGCCTCCGACGCGAGCGCCGTGAGTGACGAGGCGAGCTGCGAGGCGAGCCACAAGCTAGCGTTTACACTCGCGCCTCGTGGCTCGCCTCGCGACTCGCCTTGTCGCTCGCGCGAGAGTGTAAACGGGGGGTTACAACATTCATGGGATGATAAGGGATGTTTATTTTCGCATGTAGCTTGTAATAATTTTATTCATTATTGCATTTTACTCTTGTATATGTATTGTGTAAAATTGATTGTAGTTTTTAAATTAATTAATTATAAATGTTGTAAATCAAAGTGATTAACGATTGACATATTCAAAGGCTTTTGGCGCAAAATATAATAAGGAACGAATAGGCGTAGACTATAGCCTTTATTTATCCTTGGCATTGACAATGAATGCTGAGATTTTAAATGAATTGTTATTGCTTTTCGAAAAAATGAAAGGGAACAAAAAAGGAAACAAAACTAAACAATCATGATAATAGAAAATATAACCATTGTATTTATAAGCAAGAAAATTAAACCGCTAATCAATTGAAACTTCTAATTAGAACTAGAAATGGGCAAACGAAATAAGAAAATCGAAAGCCTGCAAGCTAAACAAAAGAAACAACAATTTTATTCGTGAAATGCCTGAACCACCCAACGAAACAGAGAAGGATTTGCTGTCTGTAATCACGAAAATAGTCACCGGACTTAACCTTTTAGTTAGACCATATATTTTCATTTCAACTACAACTTTACAAATGCAAATAATGATAATAAAAAACAAAAACAAAAAAAGGACGTTATTAGAGGAGCGAAAAATTCTTAAGCCCTTTCGTGGGTATAAAACTGATATGTATGTACTATATCTAATCAGGCACATAAAGAATTAATAAATTGTATCAGTTTTTGAATTTTTATCACTATCGAGTAAAGCTCTTTGATAATATTAGCTATAGCGTTGCGAGAATACAGAAGCTTTTATATTTGAGATAATCACAGAGTACATAAAACCTGGTAATGTTCGTTAGTGATGATAACTCACAAGAGCAATCACTTAATGGTACTTGGTCTGGCATTAATTTATATAGTGTTACACAGTTACAGGTGATCCAACTTTGTATGAAATCTGAGAAATTTGCACACAATCATAACTTTGTCTGTGTGGGTTGGGCGTATAAAAATAAAGCGATAAAAGATATCGCTGTTTCTTTCCTTCGCGTTGGTTTAAATTGCCATTTTAAAAATTAGATAACAATATACATAATTATTATATCAGAAGAAACTGAAAATGTTAACTTTGTGCTATATTTTTTTTGTTTGCACCTTACAGTAATTATATACATATTACTCTGAGGTTTGCACAATTAATTGAATTATTAATTAAATATTAAATATTAGCAGAATTCTATCAAGAGAAGCCATGAATTAAAATAAAAAAAAAATGACATTTGTTTGTCAACTTCTTTCATGTTGAAATTATTTGTAGGAATTATTACTATATTAACTCGAATTTTATCTGTTTCAGATCATGTATTTGGGCTGAGTAAGTTTTCACTATACTAATTTTGCTGATTTAAATTTATGTTACGTACTGTGAAGAACATACATTCAATGTAAGAACTCTCACAATAACATATATTATATATCAATAACATGCATGGAAATATAATCTGCAAAAGCAATAAGAATATTAATAATAATTGTATCATGTATAAAACAATGTCTTCCAAAAAATAAAATTACATAACTATATGCACCATTTTTAGTTATATTTTATCCCCTATGCTCCTCTAAAGTAAATTCGAGTAATTTTGGTGCAACCTCTTAAATGTGTGGGAATTCACCCAATAGGTTTCTCAGGCTTGAGAATACAAGGTTTTAAAATTCCCGCTAAAAGGTTTTATATGGGCGCCCACCGTGGCGCTTACAGTGTACACTCATAAACACGTGTTTCATTTTTTTTGTATGAAGTTGGCATTCTTCTCTCAGTAGAGAGTAATTGTACAATTAATTAGTGTTTGCTCTTATTGAATATAATAAGCAATAAAATCTATACATCCATGTTATGCCAAGTGAATAAATCAAAGTTCAGTTTACTTAGGATGCATCTATGTTTTACCTGGAATAGAGCCTGGACAATCAATGTCACGAGCAGTTCATTGTACAGCTGGGTGTTCTTCGGTACCTCAGCCAGGCGCTTACGGGCCTCGTCTAGGACATTACGTACGTGGTCTTCACGCACTTTGAGCACCTTCAGACGAGCTTGGTTCAACATGTTCGATGATTGGCTAATGACAAAGATATATTTCTTATTATCACGGATGAAAATAAAGACTAATATTTAAAATTCATGTAACCAAACTATGAATGATTAATATTAAGAATAAATATTATATGACAACATACTTTTGCCACCATTTGAGCTGTGGTAGGTTAGGGGCTTAGCACTCACTGTAAATTTCACAGTATTTGAGCAACCCGGGTTCGATCCCCGCTAGCACCAATGAAATTGGTAATTGCAATTTTAAGTGCTGAGGTACCATGTGCCCGGCGGTAAAGGGAAACATCGTGAGGAAACCTGCACGTCTGAAAAATAAAAAAATATATTTGGAAGACATGTGAAGTCTGTCAACATGCAATGGGGCAGAGTGGCGAACACTTCCTTGACCTAAAACCCTCTCAGAAGTGAGAGAAGGCCTGTGCTTAGCAGTAAGACGTATATAGGCTGTAACTTTATAATTTTATTTATATTTGCAATGAATTGTGTGCAAGTGAATTGCTTTAATAGTCAGTTTTTGAGAATATATAGAAGACACTGTCTTCAGTGTCGAATTCAATTGTTTATCGAAGTGTGTCAAAATAATCTGACACACTTCAATAAACAATCTCGTCACTAACTTCTGCAGCATAAATTCTTTCTACATGTCTAAACACGCAAAACATTTATTTCTAAATTCTGGTCACAGCATAGTCTAGCAAAGCACTATTATTCTCTTATCACACAATTTTCCACCTTATCATTAAACTCCTACTTCATAATGACTGCATTTCTACAGCAATTATTTTACTCTCATGCTTCTTCTGCCATACCCAACTTACACTGCATACATTTTAATTATTTAAAAAAATGCAATCATTACTTGTCCTAATTGTTAAGAGTACCTTAGCATGCTGATAGTTGTGTAAATTGCACACAAAACAAAATTTCCAGATTTTCGTATAACATTACAAAAAAAAAACAACCATATGTTAAGTGGTCAGTGCACTCTATCTAGATGTACTCGTAATTGTTTCTGTGTCAACGGTCTAATACTGCATCACCTCCAAATTGCATTAACATTATATCAAGTACAGGTATGTAGCAACAGGTGAGTGCCATAAGATACATATACACTTGTGAAAACAGGGATGAAATATAGGAAGATAGTCATCATGAGGGATAGTTAAGGGGAGAAAATCATATAAGGAGAACTTAAGTTTAGGACAAGCAAAAAAAATAGTTAGGTAATTGCTTGTCAAGTCAACATTTACAAATAGAGCTGTCTCTAATCCTCAACTTCACTAATTGAAATGGTGTAAAGATATGAATAAATATATGGTATTGCTGTTATCATTAGTCTACCCCTTTTGTTTAGTGTTATTTGATAAATATAAATAAAATAAAATGATTTTCAGTCTGTAACAGAGGTGAAGGATTTTAAATAGTTTATGATTTGTACTAGATTTGGGATTCACAATTAACATGTTATAATCCATTTTATGTACATAATAATATGCTGTCACTCTCACAACTTGATATGGACAAAATTGTTTTGCTCAAACAGTATACCGTATGCCATGAAGCACTTTTCAGATGTCAAGATCCACAGCTCTAATAGATCTACAAGACACTCCTTAATTGATTAGACCATTATTTGAGTTATGTCTTCCAAATGTGGAACCATATTTGGCACAAGATATTGATGGCCTAGAAAGTGTAAAGAAGAGAGTCACAAAACTAGCTTTTAGCCTCTGCAGAAAACCATATGAGGAAAAGGTTGTAAATACTACACTCACAATGTGAGAAAACACCAACAGGATGAATTAATCGAACTTATAAAATTGTGACTCGAAAATAGGGTTTTCATGACGTACCTGATAACATGGTCCAAAATTGTATACCCCCACATACTAATGATATGTTATGTGAATACTAATGTACTTCATTCATGAAACAAGCATTTTCAGAACAATGTCCTGATAATTAACACTCCATCGGTAAGCAAATTTAAGACTGGAACAAGTGCTTTAAAGAAAAGAAAACAGTCCATGGGTCTTATGACTATAATGACTACATATTGAGCAAAATAGTGCAGTGAATAAACAAGATATAATTAAAGCAATCACTTATTAAAGATAGTATCATGTATCCAGTTCCATTGAGTAATGTGATGGGGACATGGGCTAGTTGCTATTTATTGTTTTTAAGGTACCTCAGCTTTAAGTTAACTGATAACATGTAAAATTGACAAATTTATTGAATTGCAAGATTTCATTGATTTTTTTACACCATTTATACAGGGTAGTAGTAGGTTTAGAAAGTTAATATCCTTATATTTTGTGTTATAGTGTTATAATATATACATGCATAGACTATAGACTGTCACATGCATAGTGCTCAGAGCTAAGAGAGCTTAGATCAAGAGATTATACATAAACCTACATCTTTTTCTGAAGTTCAACCTGTTTCTCCTTCTTTTCGTAGTATTCCATGATCTTGAGCCGCTGTTGTTGCACAAGACGACCCTTTTCAATATTGAATTCTTCTTCGGCCTTAGCATCGATTTCTTCAGCCTTTTCATTAGCCTCTTGTTCGATAAAGGCCATCATATGCTTGATCTAGGACATAAAATGTGCATATTTTATTACAAGTATTATTTCTAGGGTTATTCTGTATAGTAAAATATTGTAAACGGAATCACAAGTGTAGAGACATGGATCAATCATTTTGACAAAATTGTCTATATGACACAAAATATGTGAATCTTGCTTATCCTTTCTGCTAATTTTAAATTTATTACCTGTTTTTGAACATCTGCGTCGCTAAGCGCCATGGCTGATGGTTTTTTATATCACTAACACGGAAAACAACCGATATAAAGCCAGAAAATTAAAAACTGGTGTGAATGTGAAGTGAAGAAGTCGACGCCTCTATAATCAGACGTGCTCCTTCATTGAACAATCATATGATCCTCTGTCTTGCCAGAATGATTACAAAATTCTCCCTTAAATAACATAGACAACTTTTTATTATCATGGTAACGCATTTAGATCAATATATTTATGTAAAATTATTAAAATAATACAACATTGAAAACATAACAACACTATAAAACACTACAATCCTGCATCGCCCCCTAAATCTATATAAGTAACTTATGTACATAATAATTTAGGGTTCAGCAATTTTTAATTTTAGTTGATAATACAAACTAACAACATAAACATTTTGTAATACGAGAAATAGCAGAATAAATGTTGAAAATTTATTGCCACCACAAACTAACCCTTATCATTTTCTAAGTGTCTTAATAGACGACAGAGGGAAATAGAACAATAAATTATAAAAAAGATGTAGTTGCCAAACAACCGAGACTTGTTAGTTTCGAAACTAATTAATTATCTGATGCTTCACAATGCTTAATTGCCACGCATTTAAGTAAATCAAAATACCATGTACAAACATGTGCAAAATTTATTGATAAAAATTACACATTCATTGTACTGCATTTTATAATTAGTATATTAAGTATATTTATTGTGTATATCGCCATGTAGTGGCGGCGCATGGCAGCGTAAGAGAATACACTACCCCATATCATCCCGTGGTTATCGTAATAAGCGTCAAAGGTAAATAAAACAGTAGATGGGCAGTAGCAGTATGGCTGTGGTGATGATAAGGATTATGTATTTTATTACTAGTAGTGTATTCAAATTTCCATTCTGTGTTTTTTTTTTAAATTAAGCGCGAATTGTATTTGAATAAGATTTCGCTTCTTGGATTTTTTTACGATGATTTTCAACATTCGATTATTAAACACTTTATTTTCAAATAATTTTTTTTATAGGATGGGGTGACAAACGAGCACACAGTCCACCTGATGGTAAGTGGTTGCTGTAGCCCATAGACATCTACATCTATGTTCGTTTGCGAATCAAAATGAAGATGCGTGGTCACTCATGAGGACTAAGATGGAATGCCTCTTTTCCAGTAAAAAGGGTCTCCGGTTCTCTACACTCACCATACGAAACACAGCAGTATTAAGCTGCTATTTTACGCTGGTAATTTTAAGAATTGTAAAAAATATATATCAATGATATAATAAAGTACATTATTCTATGCGAACAACCAGAGTTTAATTCCTACCGTCACTAATGAAATTGTTAATTGCAATTTAAGTGCTGATTTAAAGATTGCGGTAAAAGAAAACATCGAACGGAAATCCTCACTAGATTGACCATATATAAAAAGAAAGAACTGTGCTGAAGAGTATTGCAAAAATTATAATAGGTATAGTGTGGTATAATCTTTATTTTTAAACAACAATTGATTATTTTTGTCTTTGTATTAAATATTACATTTTTTTTTCTTGTGTGGGTATAATTGAATTGTACAAAGATATTATTGGTTCAGGTAGCATATAATATGACGCATTGATTCTGGTTCAATCAAAAATAATATTTGTATAGGATATATTTAAAATGCTAATACTTCAATTAGAATGAAAAAGCGTCCACCAAATAGAAATACTTCTCCTCGTCATCAGGTCTGTGAGTACGTAGTAATAAAATAAATAAAAGGGATGAGTCTAATTAAATTGCTAGATTGTTTCTCCATTTATTTTCTTGTAAGTTTTACCCTCCAAAGGTACAAATATTTTTGTGAGGGTAATTTTAAAATCATCGTCATTCATGTAAAGTCAATTTAACATCCAATTAAAATTATTAACCTACAACGAAAAGTTTTATGATCTTGTTCAAAAATGTATTTATCAGAAAAACTATTAATTAATTAAATGTCAAGTTGCGGATTTATCCAAAAGCTCTAACGATAGAAACTTGTACATTGTGCGGGTGGTATTTTTTAAGTTTCCGCTTTTAGCAATATGGCTGCCAGTTGTTTAGGGTAATGTGGCGTTCCACAAATCTGAGTGAAATTTTTACAATTTATTCTACCGACGTAAAGATGCATAAAGTTTTTAACGTTTTATAGCAGTGTTTCATGAAAAGGCAGTACTACGAATATTTTAAGTTGGTGATAAAAATTTTGGATGCACACAATTTGCCTTATAAATTGAACAGTCAACAAACTTTTGTTTGTTTCATTCAAGAGGAATTATATATTTCTGTTGAGAATATTCGATTATGAACCATCCATATAATTCCTGAAAATAGTGGATCAAGGGCTGAAGTAGACTCTAGGTAAATATTTATCCAATTTGAATATAAGACCTGAAATTAGAACATCTTCCAGAGTCGCCATTGTTTGACAGACGGATAAATAACCATCTCGATCTACGTATAATACCTACGATATTTGTTATTATTGACGAATGCAATATGTTGTCCTTCGCAACAAGAAGTTTTGTCATGCAATAACATTGTTGTTTTTGCTATTTCTATCGTTTACAGTAAGAATGAAAACGAAGAAACCAATAATCTTGCTGTGCTTCATTAAATATTAAATTTATCGCAGTTATTTCTTAATGAATGTCTTGTTTTATTCAGGTCATACACCAAAGTTATATTAATTTGAATTTATTTAATCAATTCATATTGAAGTACATTAAGTGTATATTTTAGTGTTAGAAATTTTAACATTTATCTAGAGCTTGCATATACCTGAAATGAATAGGAAAGTTTATAATAAAATGTTCTTAATGTTTATTATTATCAAGTTTAATTTGACTTAAATACTTTTACAATATAAAATAGTACTAGTATAAGAGAATGTTATAATTAAAGCAATGTAATTGTTATGTTTACAAGCAGAGCTGATTGGCTAAGGCTATGTTGTGTAGTTTGCTCTATGCATTGTCGCCTCAGTTGTAATATATCAAATTGTATAAAAGATGTCACATTACATGCATTGATATTCACTTTTGTGTGGCATCTTTCAAGCATTTAGTTGACTCTGCTTTTTAAATATTTACTTATTTTAATTTCAAAATGTTCACTTCTGTTCATTGGTTTGGTGCAAGATACATTTCCAGTTTTTTTGCTGTTCAGCTATAGTGTGCAAGCATTACAATTTCATTTTCAAGGTCAATATTATAGAAATTAAAAAAAATTAAATATAATCAAATGTATAAAAGCACTATGCATGTTTTCTTTATTAATTTACTAGTGACAGGCTCTGGCTTCGCCTGGGTGGGATCTATTAATGAGGTGATTTTAAGATTAAGATAATTATCAAAGACCATTTAATGCATGGCTATTTGATGCTAGTATTTAGTGAGAGTGTGGTCCTTCCCTGCTCGCTCGAGCCGACCCATTAGTGCTAAAATCATTAGTAGAGCAGCTGTAGTGTGGCTCTACCACATGTTAAGGTCATAGTATAGCAATGACAATAATAGGAGCACATTCGCTTTACACATTTCACATATTTTTTACGTGGAACCCCTAATTCTTTTTCTAAAATAAAAGTGGCCTAAGCTCAGCTATCTGTCTGTGAAAATTCTGTCAAAATTGGTCCAATGGTTTGGGAGATTAGTCTGAACATACAGACAAAAATTTTAATAATTGTTATTTGTTATAAGTATGTACTCTCATATGCATTTACTAAAAAGCTGTTAATTTGACATTTCAAAGAGAGACTTCAATTTTATTTGTTTTCATAGATTTGCATAATAAATTGTAACTATCATTTTGTACTACATTTACCACTTAGAACTGAAAAAAAATTGTGTTAAATTTACAAAGCGGGAATTAAGATTACTTTATAATTAATAACAAAGAAATTTATTGCAATATTGAATTAAATTAAAACAATACTTAGATTATATTATTTTTTCAAATTACTATTGCTTTGTTGTTTTATAAAAGTCCTAGAAACAAATAAAATATTTGAAAAGGAAATAAAGTTATATATGAATAATAGAGGGGCTATAATATCCTGTGGGTGTCATTGGGCAGCAGCATCTTCCTGATATCAATTTAATAATAATAAACTAATTGTTTTTCATGGGCTGTAATGAATGATGAATAAAAGAGATATAATGCAATGATATTATATCTCATCTATTTGTAATTAAAAGTTAGTTATTTGTAATTATAAAATAAAATAATAAATAAAATTTGTTTGATTTCAGGTTATGGCAAACTTGAATTTCCAGCAAGCACCTAGAAGCCTAGCTAGTGGCGGTGTAGGTGGAGTTGGAGTTGGAGGCCGAGTGGGTTCAGGGCTGGTTGGTGGAGTATCTGGTCATGTGACGCCTACATTCGGCGGGGCGTTGTCGCCCGGCCGAGGTTCCACGGCAATGCCAGGAGGTGCACCACCTACCATGGCCTCAAGAGCCACCCTTTTTGGTCAACGGGCATTTGCAGATCGGAGAGTACCTATACCAACACCTTTATCTCAAGCCAACTCTAACTCTATTGTAAGAATCATACCATCATATTTATTTTTCACTACATTAAATAATCAAACTGAACAATATTGTAATATCGGCTGCTAGCTTATTAATCTATAATAATAATAAAAACTTTCTTCTGTTCGGTCCTCCATGATAGTACTATTAGGAATGGTTGTGGAAATATGCTAGTCTTGTTCTTTAGAAAAGGCAACAGTGTGCTATTACAGAACTAGTCTAGTTTTTCATCTGAGCTGTATCTATGTGCTGTTTTTGTGAGTTATTACAAATCATCTTGCACAGAGACTACAATATCAGCCTTACAAAACAGTTGGTTTCTGAAAAGGTTTTATCATTATAGACCACATACATACCATTCAGCAAATTGTACAGAAGAAGAGTACAATTTGCCATTTTGTCTTGCATGTGTGGACTATCAGAAAGCTTTTGATCCCATTTTTCAGTGGTGCAAGTTGACTATTGGTATATTGAAGTGCTAAAGTGTTTGTACAGTAGGGTTACAATGGATATCCAAGTACAGAACCAGAGCACAAAATCTATTAAATTGTAGAGAGGTGGGACAGGGTCACATTATACCCTCAAAATGCTTGATTTCTGCATTGTAAAACATTTTCAAGCTATTGTGTTGGAAGGGATATGCTGCCAAATTCAATATGTTCATTAGCTGTCAATAGTTATTATGGCAGAATTGCTAGTGAACCACAGCACTGCTCAATGACCTGAATAGTGAACTGAACATAGATAACTCAGATGTCTATGTCACACATATGAGGGCAGTTTTTGGAGGAATGTGCTTAAAGTTGTTTTTTTTTGTAGAATTAGGGTGACAAATGAGCACACAGTCCACCTGATGGTAAGTGGTTGCTGTAGCCCATAGACATCTACATCTATCCTCGATTACGAATCAAAATGCAGATGCGTTGTCACTCGTGAGGACTAAGATGGAATGCCTCATTTCCAAGTAAAAAAGGGTCTCCGGTTCTCTACACTCACCATACGTAACACAGCAGTGTTAAACTGATATTTTACGCTGGTATTCTGTGAGAGCATGGTCCTTCCCCGGTTGAGCCGACCCATTCGTGCTACAACTATACCAGTAATATAGCTGCAGCATGGCTCTAGCACGTAAAAGTTGATTGGTGTGTTGAAATAGGACAAATTTTCTGTATAGATAAGTCCTATTTCAACCATGAAGTCAATATGTTATTACTCACATATGCTTGAAACTTAAAAATAACAGTACATGGATATGATACAGTCTTGCAGGCAATCTTATATCACCAAGCAAAGTAAGGGGCTGCCCTCCAATAGATGAAGTGATAACCAAGTAAGAGATGCAGTAAGTTGATGGATGCAGAGGGCTCAGGACCATGCTTTGCGGTATTCCTTTTGGGAGACCTAAGGCGGCCTAATGATGGTGACAATGATGATTATGAATAATATTAAGATAGTATATACTTTTAAAGAGCCATTGTAGCTTAAGGACTAAGGCTTGTTTCACTGCAAGGCAGCAGTTTGTATGTAGCTACATGATGGCTTACACAGTGCCGCGTGTCTGGACACTAGTACAAAAGCCGGATTGTAGCCGCTCGCGCAGCGTGTAAAGAACGGTGTGCGGACCATAGTTGTGGTAAGACCGGTAATACTGTCTTGACGACCACTGAATTTATAGAATGTGATGGAATGCATGTATAATTTTCCTTTTTGACTTACATGGGATTTGTTCTTGTTCATTGAACAAATCAAAAGATTTTTTTTTATATTAATTGTATTTATAAGTTGCCACACGTAGACAACGGTTGAATGCCAATGAATGGAACTTGTGTAATTAAGCCAGAAAAGTCTAGCTCAGCTGGCCACATTCCTCACTATCGGCTGCTCGTATCTCAAGTATTATTATCATTATTGTAGTGCTGCATTGGTTGCAGAGAAGCAAAGGAATAGTTATATAATTAAATTAAATAAGAAAATATCACATTTCGTGTTGTGACGAATTGTGGGGAATAGAGGTGAGGGGAGGATAATTTATTATGTACTCATGATTAATATGATTAATCACAGCAACCATTTTTTTTAGCATTACTCTTGAAATGTTTTTTAAGCTCAGAAATAATAGTTTAAGTATCTTGGTTATTGAAAAGTGATGTTCTCATTAATTTTATTTTTTTATTTCTTTTCTGCAGTCAAGTATGGCGAATCTGTCAAGGTTTAATGCCAGTAGTAATTACCATTCTGTGTTCGGGGAGGGGGGCGACACATCGACACCTCCTTTACTGGACCTGAGTGAATTCCCTTCACTGACGGCAAGAGGCGCCGGTGACCAAGCACCTGCCGCAGCGCCGCCGCCGCCTGGCTCTAAACCGTACGGTAAGTATTTAAATATTATACATACATGCTCATAGCAATTCTTAATATTCACATAAATGTTTGTGTGAGATTAAATAAATATGAAAACAAAATTCCTAAAATTACTACACAGTTTTGTATAGTCCATATTGCATCATTTTACGAAATCTTCTATACAAGCTAGGCTCACCCTATTCTAATCAAGTTTAAATCGACCACATTGTTTATTTATACAATTTTTTCATAGGTTAGAAAGGTGCAGATATATGCATTAGCAAATCCTGATATGAAGTCTACAAAAGCAAACCGTATGGTCGAGTATGCCTCTGCCGTTTGTCGTTCGATTCGTCATTGTTGTGTCATTGACCTTATGATATTTTAAAGTTTTTAATAATTGTTATAGTATCTATAACAATTATAAATTCTATAATATAGATTATACATACATACGCTCTCGAAATTTTAAATATTGTTTTGTAATCAATTTACGTTCGATTAATAGGATATATGACCATATTTTTGACTTGTACAAACCACCATTGCCTATTTTACTGGTAACAAGGCATTCCATCTTAGTTCTCAATTCTCAGGGTTGAAAACGTATCAGAATTTTCATTCTTTATCAAGCGTAGTTGCTGTTGTCTATGGGTCTCTGTGTTTACTCAATGAATGGCTATGACTATGCCTCTGGGCGAAAAACCAGCTCTCTTGTCACCAGTGGCGGTGACCAGATGCAGATGCAGTTCTTATAGAAACTGGCTTGAATGTCTAGGCGAGAATTAATTACAAATGATATAGATAATGTTATACTGATTTTATTATTTAATAAGTAATATGCAATTTTCTAAAGAAAAATCATTAATTCAAATTCAAATAACATGTTTGCTTATCAATATCATTTGTTGTATCTGACCTAAATACTAAATAATAAATACTGTACACTCATCATAAACTAAACTTGCAAGGACTTCCATTTTTGAAGTAATAGCTTCCTTTAGAATTGTCGTGATTTGAAACTCGATAAAACGAAAACTCGACGACACTAAGAAGTGATATAAATATCTATAGGATTTAGCCTGCGAGGGAATGAAGTAGAACACAGTCTAGTGTACTGTTGTCTCGGTCTCTTCTGTGTCCATTGCTTTAAAGATGGTTAATATAACTTTTAACTATTAAAAAACAGGTAAAAAAATAACAAATATATGAATAAATAAAATTAACCATATTAAATAAAATTATATTTAATTCATTCATAACAATCCACAACTTCATAACTTACCGATTTATATTAAATTACTCGTGTTTAGGTCGTCTAGCGTCTATTATACGTACGATTTCACGTTTCGTTCGATATAATTACTATCTATAGAATGAAGTATATAGCTAGATATTACAAAGCAATTTTACTCGTAATTTTCTTAAGGTTTTACTTCTATGGCGTGTAAACTGCACACATGTTTTTTTAATATTTTATGTATATACATTCAATGATAGGAAATTATAAAAAAAGAACACATGTGCAAAGGCACTGCTTATTCGATTTTGAAATTTATTCTAACAAGTCTATCACTAAGTGTATTGAAATCCATTATGATATACTGAGCTGTAGAACTAAATGGAAAATTAATTTTAATATTTCTATTGTAGAGCTAAGTAGAGTAGTAGGTGAACAAACCTGTATAAATACCATAATAAATTCCAGTGGGTATGGTGAAGCAGCCAACATCGGAGCAATCTGAGTTCACGATGTCATCGGAAGACTTCCCTGCGTTACCGGGCACGAGTACGGGCGGCGCTGCGGTCGCGAATGCCACTGCCCACGTCGCAGCACATACAACGCAGGCCACACACCCTGCGCATGCGCCGCAGACACTAGAATATGCAAACCACAACGACACTAAGCCACGGAAAGGGATACAGACCTCGCCGGATGGTATGTATTATCTAGTTTCTGTCTAGATTATTATTCGCGCTTTAATACTCTTTTCTGCTCTTTCTACCAAGGTCTTTACTACCAAGCAAAAAAAATATTGTAACCAGAGTCTGCTCATCTGATTAAAATATTTAAGGATTGGTTTAAGGTAAAACCAGAAGCTTACGAATGGGTTAAGAATTTATACATGCCAACCTTTACTGTAGTCAGTTCGGAAGAGGATACCAGTTGCGCTGTAAATTTTCCTGAATTCAAGTTTGTTACTTCCAAATATACACTTAATGCATTGCTTTTGTTTCCGCATTTTATTTCGTTGGTAGTTAAAAATTCATTGTTGTTTATGGTGTCAAGGCATAATTTAAAGAAAAAAAAATTGCGAAATGCAACTGGTTTGGACTCTTTTTATACTGACAATAGTAAAAGGTAGTTTAAATTTATAAAAATTATACAGGGTTATTTTGCAATGTATGACCAAATTTGTAGAGAAGGTTCAGAATACGTAATATAGGCGGATGGTAAAGAAGAATTAAGTTGAAAAAATTGTCAAACATTTTGTCCTTTTTATCATTAAAATTTTCATAAGTAGTAGTGTCAGTACGTTACCTAAGACGGAACGAAAATATTCAAACCGTGAAGATATGAATATGAAATGAAATATGAAGCTATGAAATAGTGCGGTATTCCATTTTAAGCAATGAAATTTTACATGGTGCGCAAATATCATACGGAAGTGAGTCTTTACCGCGATAACAAATTAACGTACGTGTACCAACCAATCGAAGAATAATTGGCAGCTAATCAAACTATTCAAGTGCAGTGAGTGATAATTTAAATAGTGAATATGAAGATAGGTGGATTGCGCACGGAGGCCCTAAACTATGGCCTCTATACGTATCGGGACTGTCACCGTTAGATTTTTATCGGTAAGATGAAATAAAAGAGTCGTGTTTACGTCAAAGACCTACCCTAAGATACAAAGACCGCCTAAGGACCCTAAGGTATAAAGACGGCCACAGTAAAATGATTGCTGTGTTCATAGAAGTTAAAAGTGCTCAAGCACAGGTAATAACTGTAAAAAATAATTTAAGAAAACGTGCTTGTCTATGCATAGAGAGAAACGGATTCCATTTTGAGGTACCAATATTAGTTATTGGGACTACTTGCGTAATTAAGTTGTAAATAATTTATTCCGATTTTTTAAATACACCATACAGACAGTCGTCGGTTACGTCGTTGATAAGCAATAATATTTATTTTTATTTTATTTATTATGACGATCTTAAGCCCGTTAAAAGTGTGAAGGTAAAATTGGAACCATAATTCGCATCGCGTAGTTATTAACTTAAGCATTAGTAGTAGTGTCACTAAGAAAGTAGGCAAAAACTTGAGCACAGGAGCACACGTACGCGTTGTTGTTGCCCATAAATCACATCCAACTTGGGATAGTGTCAAATAAAAGTAGAAGCCTTACTTGTAATTTCAACTGTATATAATTTTTTTATATATTTGAACTTAAATATAAAATTTGGCTACTCTTTGAAAAATAACTCGGTATTTTGCTTATTATAAAAAATAATGCTATAATCCCTGAAATTGTCCTTGGTTACATAGTTATCTTGTGTTGATGGCATCTTAATTCTTACTTAAGTCCTTAATATTGTATCAGATGAACATGGCCTTTCAGTCTTTCAGTATTAATATAATTATACATGTTTTTAAGTAAAGCACCTTCTCGAGTTTTTAACTTTCTGTAATATAAGTTATATTATATAACAAAACTGCTTTTTCAGTTCTTGTTTTAAAATAATTTCTTAGTTAAGTAGTTTACTGCTTATTCCAGATGTACATGATATAAATCTATTTATTAAATTTGATTGTCTTCATAAAAAAAGTTAGGTGGAATGACTTATGCATGCTCCTTATTTTAATTAGATGTCTTTAGACAAATTTGAAAAACTGTAGTTACCAAAATTGCAATAAATATCTGACGTGGGTTTTTTCTGTCCTTAAAGTTGTCAGTCAAGGAGCGCATACGGAATACTATGGTGTGTATTATAAAAGTTTAGGAATCAATCATATAAAGCAGGTTAATATGTTATTCTGCACATAATAAAATTATGCATAGTATAAAAGCGGGGGTAACATATTAACCGCGAAAATGGTCAGTTAATATTTAATGAGGTACTGTTATTGTTAATTTTAGGCAAAGTGACGAATATACCGGAGACGATGATACCAAACCAGTTTGGTATTGTGGGACTGTTAACGTTTATTCGCGCGGCGGAGTCCGACCCGAGTCTGGTATCATTAGCGTTAGGTCAGGACTTGACTGCCCTTGGATTGAATTTAAACTCACCTGACAACCTTTACCTTACCTTTGCTGGACCTTGGGCGGATACGCCCTGCAGGTAAATTATTAATTTATTGTTTTTCCCCACTATCTTTCTTTTCCAAATCAGTGTTGTCTAAGCTGCTAGTCCATTTATATTTTGTAAAGATAACTCAGCTCTGACGCCATGAACCGTAATATCAGAAATTTAATGTAGGGTGTGAAGAAATACAACAAAAATTGGTCAGAAATATTTCTTATGTTTTATATTAGTAGTCCCTAATCAATTCTATTGGAAGTATTAAAAAAACTTAGTTTTTAGATTGGGTCCAGATTTTTGGCTGTATTTATTAAAAAGTCATGCTGTGGAATTGGTTCACATTAATCAGATAAGGTATTGATTCCCATTGATAAAAAAAATTGTCAAAGCACTGCACAAGTTACTGCAGGGAAAAGGTCCAAATCCAACAGTGATTTTATAGAAACAGAGAAGTAAATTTTCTTATTATTAAAGTAATTTTTTATCTTTGGTTAAACTATAAAAGTTATGAATCTGTCACACATTTAGAAATTAATTTTTGTCCACTTGGAACAAAATTGAACTATAAAATGAGTGTGTTTTTGCTATGGATTTTTTTTCATATTTATATGGGCCCACTTCTGAGTTAAAGCTTATTTAATAAAAAAGAATTATTAAAATCGGTTCACAAACAAAAAAAAAACGAGAAGCAGTCTGTGATTGAGAATATCCTCTTTTTTGGAGTCTGCTGCAAAGTACAGTAAAGTCAACGTGATAGAGCCACGCAGCAGCTATATTATGATTGTAGCACGAATGGGTCGGCTCGAAGAGGGTAAGAGGACCAAGCTGTCACAGAATACCATTGTTGCTGGGTTTGACTGTCAAGAACTACATAATATGATGTTTACTATCAAAAACTTGTTAATTTCTCTAGTTTTTTTACATTTTCACAACAATGCTTGTCTACCTGCTGTCTCAAAATTATAGAAGTTTCGGTTGGTAACTCCCTAATCTCATAATCCATTGTAATCGCCAGCCTTTGCTCCTGCTTATTAAAATTTCCCTTCGGAATTTGGATAACTTTTTACAGGAGAGAAATTTCAATTCCAATGTGGCAGTGGAAAAAACGTCTTCAAACAATTGTCAGTCCTAGGTTATTCCTGGGGATGGGAATTGATACGCCCTTAAGATATTGATTAAAATTTGTTTTATTTTTCTTTAAAACAGCAATTACATAGGTCTAATAAAACAATTTAATACAAAGTTTATAGTATAGATTACAATATTCATTCTATATTTCTTCCTTTCTGTTGGCTGCTACTGTCAGTATTCAGTGTTCACAAAATCCGTTAAGTGTATTATAATGATTCGATATTTATGATTTAAAGCATAACATAATGTTACAGGCCACAAGACATGGACTATCACGTGCCTCCCGAGTATCTGATAAATGGAGCTATTAGGGAAAAATTGGCGCCCCTACGACTGAGTCGATATAAGGAAGATCTATTATTCTATTTATTTTACTGCTTCGTGGGCGACGTGCTACAAATTGCAGCAGCAGCCGAATTGTGAGTAGTCAGTCTATCTTTTAACATTAAGCCTTTGAATAAATACGATTTGTTATGAAGTTTGGGGCCCTCCTTCCTTCAAAAAAGGGTGCTAATATTTACATACATACTAAACAGTTCTTATTTTTCTATAATATTTGTATGTAGTCGCCATGATCATTGTTATACAGGGTTATTTTTCAAAGAGTATCCAAATTTTATATTTATATATTATTGCAGTTTTTGAAAATACGAGTATATAAGGCTTCTACTTTTATTTGTCTTTATACTAAATTGTTATGGGCAACAACTACGCGCCCCTCTGTGTGCGATTCAATTTACAACGTTTTTGTCGACCGAGCGACCCTTACTAATATGTGCGTGCGTAGTAAAACATTAGGCGTTAGTGAATGACAATCAGTTAAAACAATGCATTACCACGCATTCTGAATTTAAAAGATGAAAAGGACAATATTTGAGATCTTTTTTAATTATTTTTTTCACCATTTGCCTATATTACTTATTCTGAACCTTCTCTGCAAATTTGAGCGTATATTGCAAAATAACCCTGTATAATTTTAACCACCTACCAAAATTATAATTGCTTGCTTTTTAATTTTCGTTCAGAACACTAAATAGTAGGCCGTTATCTTTTTTCAGATATAACCGCGAATGGCGGTATCATATGGAGGAGAAGGTGTGGATCTCGCAAGCGCCCGGCATGCCTATGGTGGAAAAAACGTCCACTTACGAGCGCGGCACCTACTATTTTTTTGACGCGCACAATTGGCGCAAGGTAACTTGAATGAACTAATGCTAATATTGAGAAATTCGAAATGTACTAAATAGAGATGGTCACCATGACGGTGATATTATTGGTGGTCAAAATTTGATAAATTGAAATCTCATCAGATCAATAGTCGCGCTCAATGCAGCACGAATGAGTCGGCTCAACTGAGGAAGAATATGCTCTCACGGAACGTGGTAGAGCCATGCTACAGCTATATTAGTAGTATAGTTTAGCAGAATACCAGCATAAAATAGCACCTTAACGCTGCTGTGTTTCGTGTGGTGAGTGAGGCATTCCATCTTAGTCTTCATGGGTGACAATGCATCTGCATTTTGATTTGTAGTCGAGGATAGATGTAGATGTCTATAGGCCACAGCAATCACTTACCATTAGGTGGATTGTGTGCTCGTTTGACATCCTTATTCTATCAAAAGATGCCACCGTAATTTTTGTTATATGAGGCATCCGCTTGACGCTTGACAGGTGATTCGCAGTACCAGATATTTTGCACTTTAGATGCTGTTTACTGTTGCCTGGCCAGATATTAAGTATTTTGCGTTTTGTGTCGCAATCGGCCAGGAAGCTATATCATCGTCGGCGCGTCGATTCTCCAATATTTAACACATTTGATGAGAGGTACATTGTAGTGGATTCTCTTAATACACCACCATACGGCGACAGTTTCGCAATACCATCAAATTAAGCCTTAGCTTACGCTTAGAGTTTTAGACTCGGCTATAATATTAGCGTCATAAATGGCCTATACCAGTGATTAGCTTAACTGACAAAATTCGAAAATAACATTTCAAATATTTTTAACCTACTTCAAAAATAGAGGAAGTAGTCAATTCGAAGATTTATAATCGGGTTTTCTGCACAAAAAATACTTTTACTGTAAAAGTATTAAAAAGTTATTTTACTATAAGTATTAACCGATAAAATAAAAGTTACAGCATAAGGTTGTCCCACTAATGGGCATAGCAAGAACGTGTCCACCGCATGTCTTCAAAATTATTTTTTCACTTCTCAGATATGTAGATTTCCTCACAATGTTTTCCTTCACTGCGGAGCATGTGGTAAAGCAGCACTTAACAATGTCATTTGTGCCCTCCGGCAGGGATCGATCCCGGGTTGTTTGGGTACTGTGAAAATTACAATGAGCATTTAGCTCCTGGGAAAAGACGTTGTAGCGTCTTTTTCACAGTGGTGCCATATTTAGTTATTTTTAAAAATAATCTTACTGTTACAACCTATCTAAGTTCACTGCTTAACATAGGTTCCCCACAGAGGATATTTGCGATAGTTGTCACGCTTAGCAGTTGGGTTGGCAACTGCGGTTTTTTTACTTTTAGTTGTAATAAAAAGACGCTGTTGCCCATCTCCTGGTTTGTTTCCCTCTGTCGCCTCTTACGACACCCACGTAATGATATATGGTAGTGAATATTAATCAAAATAATTTTAATAATTCAATTATGTGCGAGTAAGCTTATTGTTAAATTGTCAGGTGGCGAAAGAATTTCACCTGGACTACAGCAAACTGGAGGGGCGGCCGCAGCTGCCGCCGCACGTGCTCACGTAGCGCCCGCGCGCACACGCACCTATTGTAGTTTTGTTATATAAAAAGTACAAGTTACCACGTCATTTTATTTACACCTTTTTCAACATTATCCTAGAGGTTAACTGCTCCCGTGCCACCAGTGAATACGCTAACATAGAAGCACCATAAACACCACTAAGAGTTGGCGTCCAGTCCCTTAGGTCGTTTTCTTCAAAATTCAAGAGTACCGCTATGTCGTGCGGGCTGACGCGCTATACACGGCCATCGCCGCCATTTTTGTACTGTGAGCACTGGCGCCTTTCGAGGTAAGGTGCTCTCAGTACTTTGATCACTGATCAAAGAACATAACAGCGCCAAGAAATTTAACAGCTTCCACGAATGATTGTTATTATTATTAATTCATATTGTTATTCAAATAAACTCCGACATTAAGTTTTAAAAGCAACAACATTCAAATAATCAAGGAGTCAAAGGTGGAGGCATTGGCCGTTAGTTTGGACATTGCGAAGGCCTTCGATCGGGTTTGCCACGAAGCTCCCTTCCTATGGGCTTCCCGAGAAATTGTACAATTGGATCACAAGCTTTCTTGCAGGTCGTTGTAGACGGTGCATGCTCTAATTTCAAGCCTATCAACGCTGGTGTTCCACAGGGCTGCGTGCTATCACCAACGCTGTTTCTTCAGCATATCAATGATATGTTGCAAACTGGTAACATTCATTGGTATGCAGATGACAACACAGGTGATGTCTTATATACCGGCCGTGCCAATATTTCTCGGGAAAATGTCGCCAAGTACCGGGACAAACTTGTGTCTGAAGTCGAGTCTTTGCTGAACAAAATCTCGAATTGGGGGCGACTAAATCTATTCCAGTTCAATCCCCAGAAGACAAGTTTGCGCGTTTACCGCTAAAAAGAACCCCTTTGTCGTATCTCCTCAGTTTCAAGGCACTCCCCTTGTTGCCCTTGGTGCTCCGGCCCAGCGATGAGAACAGTATTCCACGTGAGGCCGAACTTGAGCTTTGTAAAGTTGCAAGCGATGTGCCGGCATATAATACTGTCTCGCTCTTCTGAGCACGCCAAGCTTTTTAGAGGCCAATTTGACCTTCCCCTCCAAGTGACCACGAAACTGCACACTATTGGATATGTCGACGCCGAGGATTCCGATGCTAGCTGAGGCAGCAAGGGGAGTGCCTTGAAACTGAGGAGATACGACAAAGGGGTTCTTTTTAGCGGTAAACGCGCAAACTTGTGTCTTGATTGAACTGGACTAGATTTAGTCGCCCCCAATCCGAGACTGTGACAGCAAAGACTCGACTTCAGACACAAGTTTGTCCCGGTACTCGGCGACGTTTTCAAGAGAAATGTTGGCACGGCCGGTATATAAGGCATCACCAGTGCTGTCGTCTGCATAGCAATTAATGTTACCAGTTTGCAACATATAATTGATATGCAGGAGAAACAGCGTTGGTGATAGCATGCAGCCTTGTGGAACACCAGCGTTGATAGGCTTGAAATCAGAGCATGCACCGTCTACTACGACCTTGATGCTTCGATCAGCAAGGAAACTGATGAACCATTTGCACAATTTCTCGGGTAGCGCATAGGAAGGAAGCTTCGAAAGAAGCGCTTTGTGCCAGACCCGATCAAAGGCCTTCGCTATGTCCAAACTAAGGGCCAATGCCCCCCCCCCCCCCCCCCCTTAGACTACTTCTTCCGCCCATCTATGATTCAGGTAGATCAGAAGATCACCAGCTGATCGACCCCGACGAAAACCGTATTGGCGGTCACTAATCAGCCGGTGATCCTCAAAGTACCGCATGAGTTGGCAGTTTATAATGGATTCCATTATTTTGGAACAAGGAGGTGATTGCGATAGGCCTGTAGTTGTACGGGTTTGAGCGGTCGCCTTTGTTAGGGATCGGGTGGACAAAAGCTGTCTTCCATGATTTCGAGACTACGCCTAGGGAGTAGGAGTACCGGTAAAGACGCGTTAAAACCGGTGCCAACTCCGGAGCACGTCTTCAGCACAATGGGAGGGACTCCATCAGGCCCACTCGACTTGCTGACCTCCAGGGAGAAGAGTGCTTTCCGAACCAAACGCTGTGTAAACCGCACATCGCACATCCGGCATGGAGCACCCACACCGCGGGATGGTCGGCGGTGTATTCCCCCCGTCATCTAGAGTCCAGTTGGACGCAAAGAGAGAGCTTAACAGATCGGCTTTCTACTTTGTGGCATGGGCCAGTGAGTCGTCCATGGCTGACAGAAGTTCCCTTGGACAGCCTTGGCGAGATACCAGAATGCACGCGTTCCCGAAGGAAGGCGAACTAGCTTCTCGCCAATTCTGCCGATGTGCTCAGACCTTGCCTTGGCAATGACGCTTTTGACGGTCCTTGAGGCGGAACTATACTTCTTTTTAAGAGCGCTGGTGTTTACATCCCGAGACGTTAACGCGTCAGCCCAGGCTCGGTAGCGCTCCTGCGTATAGCGTGATGCTATTTTACAGGAGCGACCAACCCATGGCTGGGATCTACCTCTGATGGGCACCACAGAGGATGGAATAAAAAGTTCCATACCCTGATGTACCACATCAGCAACAGAATCGGCAACAACGCTAGGACCTTCCAGCGAGAAGCAAACCCGCCCCCAAGGGTAGGATGCAAAAAAAGACCGCATCCCGTTCCAATCGGCCGACCTATACCATACCATATACCCACGGCGGCAAGCTGCAGATCGCAACTGCGATGGGAGCGTGAGTGACACCGTACTCCGGATCAGACAATGGTCCGAAGAGCCCAGAGAGGTCTCGACGGAGACCTGATACCCGTCGAGATGAGGGGTCAGCAGAAGGTCCAACAGGGAAGGTATATGATCCTCTACATCCGCGTAAGCGAAGTAACCAGTTGTGTTAGACCATATTCCAAGGCAAAATCATACACAGATCTACCCGCATGATCGGTTAAACGGGAACCAAGCCATTTAGCGTGGTGGGCGTTAAAATCACCGAGTATCACGATCTCTGCGGATGGGACCTGTTGTAGCACGGAGTCTGTAACCATTTGGACGTGGTCGATGAGTTGGTCTGCGTCGGCATTACCGCTATGGGACCTATAGAGGCACCCGTAGACGCGGGATGGTCGTCGCTCTCTACGTGCAGCCATAGGATGGACAGGTTCGTACCTTCAAGACTGCCGAGGCGTCGAAAACAGATGTCCTCTCTGACGTATACGCAAATTCCAGCCCGGAGCACAAAGAAGTGTTCTAATTTGTACCCCGGGTAGGAGAGATATGAAGTATCAGCCGGCGAGGATACCTGAGTCTCGGTTTAAAAACAGCAAGGCTGGCTACGCCGTCTCTGGATGGTAATGGACAGCGTTAAGGTTGGAATGGAGTTCCCTGATGTTGCACGGATAGCGTGACAGGGGTCGCCTTGGTCTTATTGCTCCGCTTGCCCCGAGCAGTCTTAGTAGCGAGGGGAATTTTGCTCAACCCCCCCCCCCCCCCACCCAAAAATTTTTTAGTTTACACCCCATCATAAAATCCCCCAATGAGGCAATGAGGCTATGGGGGAGGCCTATGTTTGGCAGTGGACTTTTATAGGCTGTATAGGCGGATGGATGGATGATTGGCAAATTGAAGTGAGAAAATACATTTGTTATTTGTAATAAAAGTGCTACCATTAATAAATATGAAATAAATAAACTTAAAGATTAAAGATAATTTATTGCATTCAGTTAGTAACGTGAAATATGTACACTAAGCATTAAACATTTAAATAATTTAATTCTCTTGGCATAACATTTCACTGGATGGCAGAAAAAAAATTGTTAAGTAATACTAACATTTGATTCTTAGTCTAAAACAGCATATTAATTTGTTAAATAGCAAAATGTTATGATCTAAATGAGATGCAAAGCATACTAAAATATGAACAATGAATGAATATAAAATGCTTGTTTTGACATTATGTACAAAAACTAAAATTCATAATAAAGTAATATTGTTTTATGAAATCTCAGTCTACATCTTCAGTGCTGGCTGATGAAGTGGCTGCGCCAGATTCTCCCGCATTTTCCTTCATTTTAGGTTCCTCGTCGTTCTTCCCCGGAACCCAAAGACCCGCATCCACACATCTCTTCATATAATAAACTGCTTCTTGCTCTGGCATTTTAGCAATAGTCTCTTGCAGCATTGGTACGTCTTGGGCGTCAAAGCATTTTTTTAGTTCCTGAAATATTTACCAGCAATTATTACTAATCAGATAAAAGTTAAGGTTACAGCCTATGTACATCAATTATGAAATAATTTATTTCTCAGACATGCAAGCACATCACAAGGTTATCACTTAAGGTTGCACTTAAAATTGCAATTGACAAGAATTGAAAAGATTCTAAAAAACGGCGAGCGCTTTCTTAGAACTTCTGAGTTTCTAGAGTCTATTGGGATAAACAACATTTTGCGAGAGGAAGTATCGTCAAATGAAGAGATTTGGATGGAGAGAATAGCTTGCATTTGCCTATTTGCGACAGCAATGCAACATATGCTCCTGATAACCAGAATGTCGAGGGCATATTGGCCAATAAATACAGGAAGTATCTATAATAGATATAGGAAGTATCTATTGGCGCATATTATATCTTAATTAGCGCGACGCGACAACGATGAAAATATCAAAGAATGGACCGACTCAAAAGAGCAGTGATTTGTGTTGGTATTGAGCAGTATATGCCCCATGGAAGATGGAAAAGGTAGCTTCTGAAGAATAGTATTTTGAATAAAATATAATTTACCAAAAACAATATCTTTTTTTTAAATAAAAATACCAATAATCAAGTTTAAAACCTAATAATTCGTAATTAGGCTAATGATTGATTGAGAGAGAGAATATGCCTTTAAGCAGTACACCTTATGTGCTATTTTTGTGTATAAAAATTAAATAAATAAATTAAAAATAAATTCTCAGAAGCAGCCCGGGGTCTGGAAATTGGCAGTTTCACCCCAATGGACTGACAGTGGAAAATAGAAACCATTTGTGCCTGTGCATACACTCGTGCACTATAAAATAATATCCTGTGCAGATGGCTAGTTGATTGATTGGTTGCCATAACCGAAAATTGTTCTGGAGGACATTATTATTATTAATATTATTACGTAAACCAGTTGGTATTGCATTTGACTGGTTGAGTCGGTTTGTCATCCCATCAGACTATAAAGAATGTGTGAATAAAAAGTGCAACTGTGCATGCGCAGGAAGAGCTCTCAGTTGGACCTTGTCTGAATTATTGGAGAGAGTGGTCCGCATCTTGTTTAAATATAATGCCATATATTTTGAATTTAAAAGATAAAAAGGACAGAGTGTTTAAGATTTCTTTTTAATTAATTTTTCTTCAGCATTTCTATATTACTTATTCTTAGCATGCTTTGCAAATTTGGCCGGTTATTGTAAAATAACCCTGTATATTATGTCAAATTTGGAAGATAAGATCTCAGAAATCATCAACAAAAATATTTTTGAAAATACCCTTAGGATTGAAAGCTGAAATACAAATATTTATGCAATCCACAAAATGACAATGAATGTTATATTTACATCTGGGAGTTCCTCATAAACTTCTACCGGGTCGAGTCCCCCGGGGCCCAGCCTGGCTTTTCTTTCCTCTTCCTCCTGCTCACGAATTGCTTCTTGTATCTTCTCTGCTGCTCGCTTCCTAATACGCGCTTTGAATTGTTCTAATTCATCATCAAAGGAATCCTTGTATGTCTTTTCAGCTAACTGAATTCTGTAATTAATAGATAAGTAATTGATTTAAAATATTGTGTGACAAGCAACTGTTTTATAGTTTCTACTATGTTACCATTACCGTTACAGCCTATTAAAGTCCACTGCTGAACATAGACCTCCCCCATATATTGCCTCATAGGGGGAGATATTGGCCATAGTTGCCAGTCTTAGCTGCGCTTTTTTTTAAGGCGATATTAGGAAGACGCTGCTGACCATCTCCTGATTTGTTCACCTCTGCCGCAGCTTACGACACCCACAGGATGATACAGGGTAGTGGATATTCTTACACCACCACTACACGGTGCATATACCAGATGGTATATGACATATACTGTAATACAGTACAAACTATAAAACCTTTAGTCCACTGTTAGAATGCTTGAGGGAAGAGATGGAGTGATAAATTCTCTAATGAAGAATCAAAATTTAAGTGAGCTGATTCACTATCACAGCTATTCCAAATACCATTTACATAATTAAGACATAAGTATGTATAGCAACATCATTTTTAATAGCAGAAAACTGTAAAGCAGCTGTTTTGTGTTTGTGGACACATAAAAAAGTAAAAGAAATAAGTACTAATATTTATTATCAAGTAATCTATTAAAACAAATATTCTATCAAAAATTTTATCTCTGTGTGCTTTTTCTTCCTTCGGGATACATTTAATACCATGCTAATAGACATCTAACATTTTTTTTTATAGAATAAGGGTGCAAATGAGCACACAGCTCACCTGATGGTAAGTGAATGTTGTAACCCATAGACACCCACATCTATCCTCAAATAAGAATCAAAATGTAGATATGTTGTCACCCCTGAGGGCTCATGGAATGCCTTGTTACTAGTAAAAAAATGTTTAAAAAAAATTCATTTATTTAAAATGCTGCTTCCACAAGATTGATTCCTGTATTGTGGATGCATTTTACATAGATAAATTGCACACGGACAAACATCCAGACCCAGAACAATTATTTGTAGGCCATAAAAAATACAAACATTTGTTCCGTGCCAGTTTCAAACCCTTGGCCCTACAGCGCTGCAACCAAACATGTTTAGCCACTGCACTACCAAGCTGTTTATTTTACTATCACAAAAGGCCATGCTATACCCATATGGTAATCTGAATAATAAATAAAAATATACTTGGAAAAGAATGAGCCCACACAGGCTCTGGGGTCCACATCCAACTGCTTTGATAGCTCCAGTATGTACTGCATACAGATTGTTTGATGTGCTACATGTGCCATTAAATCATGTTTCTGTCAAACAAAATATATAATATTCATATTAAAACGCTACTTAAGGGAGACTTGTATCAAATAAGAACATTGTGAGTTTAAAAGATTAATCAATTTATCTTTTGTAGATCTTTGGTAACACTTACTGTTATATTTAAAAAGATTTTAACACAAAACCTGAGTAATAATTTCAGTGGGAAATATTTTGAGAGACTATAATATAAGGTCTAAGCATTGAAATACATTTTGGTGAGGAATTACACGCTTTAATTCCTTCCTTTCCTTTCCAACATCGGACAACCAGGCGGTCAGTGGGTCTTCACACCTTTGTTGTCAATATTCCATGCATTAGAACTAAATGATTTGCTTTGTCTTTTGTAATGCGTTTAGCAAAGGAGTGAAATAATTTGCCAGGGTCTATCTTTCCGTCCAAATACAAAGGGCTTCTTCAAGGCAAGAGTGAATAGGCTTCTGTTACGCTAAGACAGTGCGACTTATCATCTACCACTTATCACCAGGTGGGATTGTGGTCAAGTACTGGCTTATAAGTAAAAAAAAAATTCAATAAATATGATTCCAATCAAAATTTTAATAAAATCTATCAAAGATGTTAATCTTCTGCATTCTACTCATTTTCAAGAATTAATTTATTATATTCTATAGCTCTACATAGCCCGCCCCAGATTACCTCATTAAAGGAATGCCTGCCATTGCTCTCACTCATAGCAGGCATGTGGGCAATCACAGTTTTTATTTTCTTGTTGTTATTAAGAAGACGCTGCTGTTTATTTCCCTATGTCGCCTGATACAACAGCCATGCAATGTTATGTGACAGTGAATTCTCTTCAGCTGACATGGTGGAAAATGTACTAATATACTACACATCACATATCAACTGCATTTTTAAATCACTGCTGAATATGGGCCTTTTCAAGAATGCTAGCACTTTCTGACATACTATGTTTTGAAAGATTTGCCAGTACCGATCAAACTGGACAGGTAGGTTGGTAAGCATAAACTAAATAACCTTCAATTGGTAATGCTGATCTCACTCTGAAATTCAGTCTAGTGATGACTGTGAATTTCGGATGTAGATAGTGTGACTATTTTCACAACTTCAACTGATTCTAACATATCATCAATAATTTGTATTAAGGGAGAATTAAGTGTTAAATCTTAATAACAATGTCAGAAGTCATCTGCTGAACTAAAATAGGCCTCACACATAAATTTCCTCACAGGGGAGATATTTGTCATAGTTGCCACACTTGGCAGGAAACTTCTGTTCTTTATAATGAAAATTTACAAAATTTATAAAAATTACCTCTTCCATTTCTAAATTAATACACCAAATAACAAGATAGTTTGCTGTTTCTTCACATACTAGCTGATTATGGTCCAGCAGGAATTTCTTAGAGTCATCATACTTTCGCAGCATACCAAACTGTTTTAATAGTTTTTCATTTTCTTTGATAAATTTCTTCATCTTTGCTTCTTTCTCCTCTTCAGTTAAATTTTCATCCTTTGACCTTGCAGGCTTTGTGTTAATGACAGTCTTTGTGAATCCTGGGGCACTTATAGTGTCAACATTCCAAGGAGTTTGTTTTTCTTTCTTTTTTAGCTCTTCTTCCTTGCTCTTTATTTCTTTTTCAACTTTCTCTAACTCATTTAGTGCTTTTTTTAATGATTCCATATCTGGGCTATTGGGATCAGTTTCAGCAATCTTCCTTTTAGTTTCACTTAATTTCCTGTATGTTTCAGATTTCTTCTGTTCAAATTCTTCTTTTTCACGGCGACGTTCTTCCATTCGTTCTACGCGAGCTTGATGCCGCCATCGGAATAGTGAGGGAGTATCAATATTTGGATGTGTTTCATCTTCATCGTCCGAAATCTAACAATACAAAGAAATTTACCATGTCAAACCGAAAAGTATGTTACAAGATTTTATATTATAATTATTATCAATACATATGGAAAGGTATTATGTACCTTCTGCTAGTAAATTTCAATTGTTTAGAAGATAGAATTTAATTGTGCAGAACTAATTTTTTATTCGGTTAAAGTAATTATTATGCATATATACATATAAATAAAGACTATTAAAAATTAAAGAACGGGAATAAAAATATCTAAAATGCAGACTTATATTTACAAACCTCAATGTCTTTCCACTTGCTGTAATCCACCATTGTTATAGCAGTTTACTTGAACTTGGCTGTAAATTTTCTCGTAGTCCTAATAAATACACAAGGAGGCGTGTTTCAATTGAAATTGAAATGAATTGAAATACGAAATAAATCACAAACTATGAGTCTATGATTGAACTGACAGTTAAAAAATCCGGAATATTCTTTTCTTGTACCAGGGCTGCCAGTGGCTGCCAGTAATAGCTACCTATTTTATAATTATTCAATATTCTTTTTTTTATAACTGGCTTTACGGCTCTGGATTCTAGCCTTTCTGAGCCTGAAGTTCAATGTTTAATTATCCTTCATAGTACACTGCTTCATAATATGTTGGTGCGTCACATTGTGCAGCCAACAAATCTCCCATACTGTAACAAGTGATCCATCTACATCATTACCTTCCTCATTCTAAATCTCCTCCCATAGATAAACTATATTCATTCCCAGACATTCTTCGAACCCAGCTTCAAGTATTGGATATGACAAATCGGCTCATCTTGCAATTACTGAAACCCCTGTCTCTTCTTTATCTAATGGATGTGCCTTAACAGAGAAAAATTCATTTCCCCAAATAATAACCGTTTTGAGCTATTAACTTCCATGCTTATTAGTAACTTCCATGTATTTTACGTCAGAAACTTACTGAGCTTAACAGTGGTAGAGCCAAGCGGCAGCTTTTGCTGTCACACGGATGGGCCGGCTCGAACCGGGGTGGTACCACGACCTCACAGAATACCAGCGTAAAGTAGAGGTTTACCTCTGCGTTCCGGTTGGTGAATGTAGGTGGCCGGAGGCCCAACTCCCCCCCCCCCCCCCCCCCCCTTCCCATCAACATGGTAGTGGAATTAAATAAAAGACTACCCCAGGAAGTTACCAGCACCACTGGAGTTTCCATCGCTGAACATCCACGACCAAACTACTTCACTCCTGAGCGTGGGTGCTCAGGCTGCCCCGCGTCTTCTGGGGGGGGGGGGGGGGGGGCAAAATTCCGCTCGCTACTAAGACTGCTCGGGGTAAGCGGAGCAATAAGACCAAATCGACCCCTGCCTCGCTGTCCGTGAATTTTTACAATATCAGGGGACTTCATTCCAACCTTCACGCTCTCCATTACCATCTAGAGACAGCGAAGCCGGTCTTGCTCTTTTTAACCGAGACTCAGGTGTCCTCTCCGGCTGATATTCCATATCTCCCCTACCCGGGGTACAAATTAGAACACTCCTTTGTGCCCCGGTCTGGAGTCTGCGTATACGTCATAGAGGACATCTGTTTTCGACGCCTCGGCAGTCTTGAAGGTACGGACCTGTCCATCCTATGGCTGCGCGTAGACAGCAATGACCATCCCCGCGTCTACAGGTGCCTCTATACTCGTAGGTCCCATAGCGGTAATGCCGACACAGACCGACTCATCGACCACATCCAAATGGCTGCAGACTCCGTGCTAGAACAGGTTCCATCCGCAGAGATCGTGATAATCGGTGATTTTAACGCCCACCACGCTGAATGGCTTGGTTCTCGTTTAACCGACCATGCGGGTAGATCTGTGTATGACTTTGCCTTGGCATATGGTCTAACACAACTGGTTACTTTGCTTACGCGGATCCCAGATGTGGAAGACCATCTACCTTCCCTGTTGGACCTTCTGCTGACCTCTCATCGGGACGGATATCAGGTCTCCGTCGATGCCCTTCTGGGCTCTTCGGACCATTGTCTGATCCGGAGTACGGTGCCACTCACGCTCCAATCGCAGTTGTGATCTTCAGCTTGCCGCCGTGCTTGGCACTATAGGTTAGCCGATCGGGACGGGATGCGGTCTTTTTTGCATCCTACCCTTGGGGGAGGGTTTGCTTCTCGACGGAAGATCCCAGTGTTGGTGCCGATTCTGTTGCTGGTGTGGTACTTCAGGGAACTTTTTATTCCATCCTCTGTGGTGCCCATCGGAGGCAGATCCCAGCCATGGTTTTTTCGCTCCTGTAAAATAGCATCACGCTTTAAGCAGGAGTGCTACCGGGCCTGGGCTGATGCATCAACGCCTCGGGATGTAAACATCAGCGCACTTAAAAAGAAGTATAATTTCGCCTCTACGTCATTGCCAAGGCAAGGTCTGAGCACATCGGCAGAATTGGCAAGAAGCTAGTTCGCCTTCCTTCGGGAACCCGTGCATTCTGGTATTTCGCCAAGGCTGTCCAAGGAAACTTCTGTCAGCCAATCTGTTGAGCTCTCTCTTTGCGTCCAACTTGACTCTAGATGACGAGGGGAACACACCGCCGACCATCCCGCGATGTGAGTGCTCCATGCCGGATGTGCGGTTTACACAGCGCTCGGTTCGCAAAGCACTCTTCTCCCTGGACATCAGCAAGTCGAGTGGGCCCGATGGAGTCCCTCCCATTGTGCTAAAGACGTGTGCTCCGGAGTTGGAACCGGTTTTAACGCGTCTTTTCGGTACTCCTACTCCGAAAGCGTGGTCCCGAATTCATGGAAGACAGCTCTGGTCCACCCAACCCTTAAAAAAGGCGACCGCTCAGACCTGTCCAACTACAGGCCTATCGCCATCACCTCTTTGTTCTCTAAAATAATGGAATCCATTATGAACTACCAGCTTATGAGGTACCTTGAGGATCACCAGCTGATTAGTGAACGCCAGTACGGTTTTCGTCGGGGTCGATCAGCTGGTGATCTTCTAATCTATCTGACTCATAGATGGGCGGAGGCAGTAGAGTCCAAGGGGGAGGCATTGGCCGTTAGTTTGGACATAGCGAAGGCCTTCGATCGGGTCTGGTACAAAGCGCTTCTTTCGAAGCTTCCTTCTTATGGGCTTCCCGAGAAATTGTGCAAATGCAATAAATAAAGCTGATTTAATAAAGAAATACTCCTAATGAATGAATTCATTCAGAACACTATTTCTTTATTAAATCAGCTCAGGCCTAAGCCACGTCTTCTGGATGGCAAGGATGAAGGGATGAAATTTATTAATGAGGTAAATGAGGTAAATGAGCTTTTTTTATTTCTAATTCTCCGACAATTCCATTGAAGAATTGGTGGGACTACGCACGTTATGGGCTAAGGAGGAAAGCTCTTTTTTATAGAAGAGGAGGCAAACGAGCATGCGGCTCACCTGATGGTAAGTGATTACCGCCGCCCATGAACAACTGCAACACCAGGGGAATTGCAGATGCGTTGCCGGCCTTTTAAAAAGGAGTAGGCTCTTTTCTTGAAGGTCCCTAAGTCGTATCGGTCCGGAAAAATCGCTGGTGGTAAACTATTCCACAAGGAAGTTGTGCGAGGAAGAAAACTTCTTCTAAATCGCACAGTGGTGGACCGCCAATCATCTAGATGGTATGGATGGTAACGCGAGTTTTGTTGCGACGTGCGATGGTGAAATTGAACGGCTGGAATTAGTCCGAACAATTCCTCAGAGCACACCTCGTGATAAATGCGATAAAATACGCAAAGAGATGCAACATCTCTACACAGTGCCAGTGTATCGAGCCGATCAGAAAGAACTCGGTCGTCGACGATTCGAACAGCTCTGCGCTGGATGCGGTCAAGTGGAAGGAGCTGGCACTGGGGTGCCCCGGCCCAGAGATGAGAACAGTATTCCATTTGAGGCTGAACTTGCGCTTTGTAAAGTTGCAAGCGATGTGCCGGCATGAAATACTGTCTCGCTCAGTAGAGCATGCCAAACTTTTTAGAGGCCAATTTGGCCTTCCCTTCCAAGTGACCACGAAACTGCACACTACTCGATACGTCGACGCCAAGGATTCCGATGCTAGATCCATCTAGATCTAGGTATAGAAAAGGATTGTCCAATGGCAAATTTAAAATTTAAAGAAATTATAGAAAAAAACCTTTAAAGATTGGTTTATCATGTTCACAGATGCTTCCAAACAGTCTGATGAAGACTACACTGGAGATTCTATTTGGGTTCCTAAGTTCAAAATCATTCTTAACTTTAAATGCCCCTCACTATCCTCCACTTTCACTGGTGAAGCAACTGCAATCAGTGAAGCTCTGTTATGTGTCGAGTCACATAATCTTAATAAAACAATTATTTTCACAGATTCAAAAAGTTGCTTGTTAGCTATTTTATCCAATCAATTTCATAACGAACATAAATTTACACTAATTCTTAAAATTAAAAATACCCTATTCAGATGCCATCTTAAAGGAATCCATGTTTCAGTAGCCTGGATCACTGGCCACAGTGGTATCTATGGAAACGAAACAGCTGATGTACTCGCTAAAAATGCAATTGCTTGGTATTCTACAAAATTTAATTTACTCACATGTCCTAATTTTGCTAGCTAAAAGGAAACTGAATGAAAATTGGAATAAATTGTGGGAAGTATCCAAAAATGTTAAGGGTAAGCACTTTGCTGCCACTCAGGAGGTTATTCCTCCTAACAAGCCTTGGTTTTTTAAATTTAACAAAGCAAATGAACATGCAACTTTAATCATCTGTAGATTGAGAATTGGACATGCTTGTACACATATACATCTGGCCAAAATCAGAGTTATGGATAGCTCACTGTGTGAATGTGAAATGTTAAACCATATTTTTTCAACTGTCCCAAACTATCCTCCTCCCTTTATGATTACCTTCATCCTTATATACTTCGACCTATAGATTTTAATTCTCTTTTAACATATACTAGTACGCTTTTGTGTATATTTTATGTGATTTTATTAATACTAATAACATGAAACTTTAAATCCTTGTCACTTCTAACATACTAATAAGATTCTAATACATGTGTTTGTCATTTGGTCTAGGTCAGTGGTCGGCAAACTTATTAGCCAAAGAGCCAAATATGAACATTACAACAATTTAAAAAAAATTGGGAGCCAAATCAGCTTGTTTGGTAAACTCTTATTACACTAAATTAGTAGTACACTAAATTAATGCGAACAATGTGCTTGCATCTCCTTGGAAAGTTTGAGTAAGTTAGGTTCATATGTTGTTTTTTTTTTTAATTTTAGGCATGATTCCAAAATCTCATCAATAA